GGCATTTCGGCCTCCTCCTCCCGGCGCACGCTGTGCAACTTGGTTGTCGCGCGCTGTAATGTTCTCCGCATCTTTGAGGTGTGCGAAGAAATGGTGCCAGCAGAAAATTTGGACAAAGGAGACGAGATGGATCAGGGTGTTGAATCCAAGGTGATTGGGATGTTTGTGAACGGGGTTGCAGGCCAGTATGTTGTTGCTTGTCTGACTACGGCGCTTTTCTCAGTCCATAACCCGAATATATTTTGTTCGCGAGCATTCATTGCATGGAATTGTGACCGGAATTCAAGCCATTCAAGTCCTTGCCTCACTTGAAGACCATCTCGACCGCTTGATCATTTCGTTCAAAGACGCCAAGGTCCGTTTACGAAAGTTCGCCGCCCATCGCAGGACTGACGGCCTTCCAGATAGCACTCATGGAGTGGTCGGAAGCTGTTCATGATCTTGTCACAGTTTCCATACACACCTACGAACGAGCGCCTCAACTTGCAAGTCTTGATCATCTCTAGTTCGTCCAAGAATTACGCTGAACATGATTTCAGATGTCGCTCGACGCTTCATACCAATCGATGCTGAGAGTCGACCCTGACTCGCGATGTGCTGTCTTATCGCTCCCAAAGGACGCCTTGGCAATTCTTCCGTTCTATCAATCTCAAGTCGATCTCGACATGGAGCAAGACCAAGTTCAGGCAAGGTGCAGTCCATGTCCCACTACTATTTCCACTGTCTGCTAATTGAACACGTGCCAGAGACATCCCTTACTCACCCAGTTTTATCTTGGATCTCCCCGTCAGTGTGGAGGAAAGTGTCCAGCATGTCATCGACTTCGTGTTTCTTCCAGGATACAATCATCCCACGATGGCCGTGTTATTCCAGACTCAACAGACATGGACTGGCCGCCTGAAGGAGTACAAAGATACCGTGAAGCTCGTCGTGTTCACGCTGGATGTTGTCGGTCAGCATTACCCTGTGATATCCTCCGTCTCTGGCCTTCCACACGACTGCTTCTCACTGGTTGCTTGCCCTACTGCATTGGGTGGCGTTGTGATCCTAGCGACCAACTCAGTCATCTACGTCGAGCGATCGTCTCGTCGGGTGGTGCTCCCACTGAATGGCTGGGCTTCACGTATCAGCGAGATGCCTCTCCCGTCGTTGCTGACCCAGGAAGAGCAGACACGTGATATGGCGCTTGAAGGCTCACGGGCACTCTTTGTCGATGACAAAACGCTGTATCTCTTCCTCAAGGACGGCAACTTGTATCCGATCGAGTTCCTTTCTGACGGAAAGCTGATTTCCAAGCTGGCGATCTCAGTGCCGTTAGCTCAGACGACTATCCCCCAGATCACTTGCAAGGTTGACAGTGATCATTTCTTTGTGGGTAGTCTGGTCGGGCCCTCGGTTTTATTGAATGTCTCGCGAGTGGAAGAGGAGCTTGAAGACGACATCGAGATGGGGGCACCCCAGAAGGAGGAAGCGGCCATGGAGATCTACGAAGACGACGAAGGTACGCCCGCTCGGTTGTCCTCATATCATGGGCTAACGATCCACTAGACATCTATGGACCCTCCAGGACTGTTGATCATATTGAGACCAAAGCGGTCAAGAAAACAAAAACCGTGACACGTCTGTCCCTTGTCGACACTATCGATGCCTATGGCCCCATATCTGACATGGCGTTCTCTGTGGCATGGAACGGGGTAAACACCTTTCGGCAGTGTTCGATGCAACTCTTATGAAGGTTCTGCAGGATCGCCCTGTTCCAGAACTCGTTGCTGCAACTGGCAGCGGCACACTGGGTGGCTTCACTTTGTTCCAAGTGAGGAAATATCCTGCAATGTACAAAGAAGGATACCTCTCATCTGCACCTCAGCGCGACCTTCCTATCCGGACCAAACGAAAATTGCATGCCCTGGGCGGAGCACGTGGAATTTGGTCATTACCCATCCGTTCTAAAAGCAACGCTTCGAGCTCGGAGTACGACACTCTGGTGATCAGCACCGACGCCAATCCCTCGCCGGGCCTGTCACGTGTGCGTCTCACATCAGTTGGACAGCTCTCTTCTGACCGTAGGCCAGATATCTTATCGTGCGGGGATAAGTGACATCAGCGTTTCCGCTCGCATCTCCGGCATCACCATCGGCGCGGGTGCCTTCTTTGCCAGAACGGCTATCCTACATGTCACAACCAATTCCATCAGAGTGCTTGAGCCAGGTCTGAATATCCAAACAGCAGTTGTCGTTCTCATTCGTTTGCAGATGGCGCAGAGCGACAGATCATTAAGGACATGGATGCGAACATGCCTCGTCCCAAAATCCGAGCGTGCAGTATTCTCGATCCGTATGCGATCGTCATCCGGGAGGATGACTCGATCGGAATGTTCATAGAAACAGACAAAGGGCGAATTCGGAGAAAAGACATGTCGTCCATGGGCGACAAGGTGTGATCGGTGTTCTCTGATGCTAAACCTTTTTGACTGACCCGGTTCCAGAGCTCTCGTTATCTGACGGCCAGTTTCTTCGCAGACACGACGGGTCTTTTCGACAATTGCTTCGTGAACAATGGGGATAGCGCTGAGAAAGTTGACAAAACTGCCACGCCCAGTCGCTGGTTGATTCTCGTCCGGCCGCAAGGAGTTGTCGAGGTGCGTGCTTCTGCTTGGCTGTTCCTCGATTGAATCTCAAGGCGCCAGATCTGGACACTGCCCAAACTGACACTTGTATTTTCTACTCCGCTGCTGGCCAATCTTGAAAGCGTGCTCACCGATACTCATGTCGCACCGACGGCATCACCACCGCAGAATCCCGTCCGCCAGCCAGAAGAGCTCGACATTGAGCAGATCATGATTGCACCTCTTGGAGAAGTGGCCCTCAAACCCCATCTCTTTGTGCGTCTTTTGTTTCGCGTTCAGACGGAACAGTTTAACCACGGGCATAGGTTTTCCTCCGTTCTGGGCATCTTGCCGTGTATGAGGTTGTCGAAGGGGCTGTCCCCGAAGAACGCCCAACAGTTCGGGCGCAGTCTCTCAACCTCAAGTTCGTCAAGGTTTCTGCTCGAGCCTTCGAGATTCAACGGACATCCGAGACTGGAATAATCGCCGAACAGAAGCGGATTTTGCGTCAGTTCCTTCCTTTCACCACGCTACGCCCATCCGGAGAGCCAATCTCGGGTGTCTTCTTCACGGGTGACCGACCAAGCTGGATTCTCGCGACAGATAAAAGCGCCGCCAAGATCATTCCGTCTGGGCACTCTGTCGTACACGCCTTCTCCCCAACCTCACTGTGGGATTCTCGCGGGGACTTTTTGTTGTACTCGGAAGAGGTCTGTGACTGCTCGATCTTCGGCACGTGTGCTCATTCGATCAGGGCCCTTGTCTGGTGGAATGGATGGCGGACTACAGCTTTGAATATCATCTTCCTTCACGGACTATTCCTCGCGGGCGATCCTACTCAAATGTCCTGTTTGATTCTTCAACTTATCTGATTGTCGCTGCCTCCTCTCTTTATTCTGCATTCACATCCTTCGATGAAGACATGAATCGCATTTGGGAGCCTGATGGTGCGTGGCCATCTCATCTCATCTGATATTTCATCTCATCATCGTAGCTCCCAATGTCTCCGATCCTGTCTGCGAAACATCGTGTCTGGAACTGATCTCTCCTGATTATTGGATTACCATGGATGGGTGTGTCGTGCCGGCCAAGTCTTACTTTGGCTGACCAACGGACTTCAGCTTCGAATTCGCTACAAATGAGTTCATCACAGCACTGGAGTGCGTCACTCTTGAGACATCGAGCACCGAGTCGGGCAAAAAAGACTTCATCGCGGTGGGCACGACTATCAATCGGGGCGAGGATCTCGCTGTCAAGGGATGCGTGCGTCTGTTTGTGCTTGCACATACCCAACCGACCACTGAACCGAGCTCAGACCTACATATTTGAGATCGTCGAGGTCGTGGCGGACCCAGCTCTCGCTCCCAAGCGATGGCACAAGCTGAGGCTTCGATTTAAAGATGACACCAAAGGACCTGTCACTGCATTGTGTGGCTTCAACGGGTATCTCGTGTCTTCAATGGGCCAAAAAGTCAGTTTATATTCCTTCCATCCACGTGACCAATCTTATTCCTCAGATATTCGTTCGCGCTTTCGACGACGATCGACTCGTGGGCGTCGCCTTCCTTGACGTCGGAGTCTACGTCACCTCTCTTCGAACGCTCAAAAACTTCCTGCTTATCGGTGATGCAGTCAAAAGCATCACGTTTGTGGCCTTCCAGGAGGATCCATATAAGCTCGTTATCCTCGGCAAAGACCTCGCGCGAGTCTGCGTTACAACCGGAGACTTCTTCTTTGCCGAATACGAGATGTCTCTTCTCACCTCAGATGAAGACGGTATCATCCGAATATACGAATACAGTCCCAATGGTTCGTTTGTGTCTCTCAGTGGCGATTTTAAACATGACGGCCCCTTCCTGAAGATCCCGGCTCTCGTGATGGGCGCTATCTCCTACTGAGGTCCGAATTCCATGGACAATCGGAGTATCGTACCTCGTCGCTTGTGGCGCACCGTGCCAATGAGGAGGCCGACATACCGCAGTCAAGAATCATTTACGGTACAGCACTAGTGTCGGGTCACCGAATCGCATTATCCTGACGCTCTCTAGGCTCCACCGACGGCTCTCTGCGTTCACTCACTCCCTCAGACGAGTCTTCTGCTAAACGATTGCAGCTTCTGCAGGGCCAGCTTACCAGGAACATACAGCATGTCGCGGGTCTGAATCCAAGGGCTTTCCGGTGCGTTTCTTCCTTGAGTTGGATCACTGTCTGTGGTGACGTATGGATCCTAAGGATCGTCCGCAACGAATTTGTCTCGAAGCCCTTATCCAAGGGTATCTTGGACGGCAATCTGCTAGTGCATTACGAAAATTTGCCCATCTCCAGGCAGAACGAGATGACGAGGCAGATCGGGACTGAGCGGGGTCAGATTTTGAGGGATTGGACGACGTTGACAGGCCCATGCTGGTAGTCAGTTGGAATAGGTGTATATACTAGTAGTAATCGTCCGGGTCACTTTACAAGTTCAAATTCTGTAACAATTTTGATGTAAGTTTGCGAAGGTTCGCATCATCAGCCACCGGTTAGCTCTTGTGCAGTTCCTCTTCATCCACCACGGTCCTCACACCAGTAACACGATCAACGAGCATCGCTTTGTTCAGCCTGTCGTTTCTGTTTAGCGGGGCTCCGGTTACGCAAAAACACTTACGACGGATAATGGCAAATATCCTGTGGTTCTCTGCCATTGATGGTTCAGATTCAGAAAGTGTCCGCGGACTCGACTGGCACACTCACCTGCTTCCACCCACTAGATATTCCAATCCATCGTCTCCGGCTCGGAACGCGTGAGGTGTCTTTGATCCTGCCGGGAACCCAACGAAATCTCCCGCGCTGAGCTCAGTGTCTGTGCCTTCCGTCCCCTGGAGCAGGAGCCCACTTCCACTGAGGATGTAGCACCATTCATCGTCGCCTTCATGCCAGTGCTCGACTGTCCCTGTTTGTCCAGGGGGGAGCGATGCGCGGTGTATCCCGGTTTTCGTCAAGCCAGCTTGGTCGCCAAGCGATGTTGTCCATCGGACACGGGAGGCATCCACTGGGTGGGCAAGTGGCTTCAATGCAGCCTTGATTGTGGCCGCTTGAACGACTTTGGTAGCCATGGTACGGTGTCAGGTATCTGTCGCTCTCGTGACTGTGGGACTACGCTTCGAGCTGATCTATATTCATTGGTTGCAGAATCGGGCCACTGATATTATAGCAAACTATGACCATTCACACGTCCATCCATCCACCTTCATCCAACTTGTAACTGGCCTCAGATTCAGGGCGGTCGGGACTGTCCACCAACTTGGCTACTCGTTCTTCGGCGCGACCTGCACAAAATTTAATCTCAATCACCGATGCGACAGCCAACACTTGCCTTTCCGGAGGAACATACGAGTTGCAGATGCGTGTGACAGAATATGGCCACCAATCGGCTGTTTGCTCCGTGTCAGCTTCTTCTCTGCGACATGGACACTGGCAGACCTTCAATGCTCCACCAGCCACAAATGTCATTGTCGCTCCTGGGTCAGCTACCAATCTTGTCAACTTCGATATGAAGTAGCAGACCAAACACACATTGCACTTGGTTCGTCAGCAGGATCGCAATCTGACCGCGAGTCAGGACGATCGGGATACAGACACGCGACACCCACATTGTATTCTTCCGAAAGCTTGGTCAACTTGGATAGCATTTGGGCGAGCTGCGACGGACATCGCGATCAGAAGCATAGTGAACAGCGGCGCAAGTCACCTTTTGCTGTCTTTCGCTCAACTGCGTGCTGTCAGTATCATTCAAGACCACTTATTCCAACGCACTTCTCCTCTGCCCGAGTAATCGGTTCTAAACAAAGCCATGATACTGTCGACAATCTATCGTCTCCAGTCGGCACCACCCTTTTGATCCACTCGGAACACATACCAGCAGTCGAAAGTCTTTATCCTCCGCGAAGCGAGAGGAGCATTCGTTAATCAATTCCATCTGTATCGTGTCGGTTCGCTATGGTGAGTGAAAGCAATCTGCTCACCTGATGTTCACTGTTGAATGCCCGAGCTACATAACACACAACATGAAAACGATGATCGCTGCTCATCAGCATGGACATACCGTATAGAATATTTTCAAGAGCCATGTTTCCGTCGACCCCAAACCGGTCCGCGATGGATCTGATTCGGTCGGGCCGGAAAGTCCCTGGGCTCTATCAGCAACATTCAAGAGTCAATGGAACTGGAACTCGCCTTCAGTGTCGATATATGCCACCTTTCCGGACGCTCCTCCCATATCCGGCGGAAGCTGGGCCACTACGCTCATAGTATGCGCCATTTGGGTCTTTCCCGTTCTGAACTCCCCATAAACTGGACAGTCAATTGAGTATATGCGTCTCGCAGGGAAGATCGACCGCGCCTTCGGTGATCGACTGAGACGTGATGCCTCCTTCAAAGTCTGCATAAGCTTTCTGGACAAACAAACGGATTCGAGAGACGCGCCTCCTAGGATGGTATCCACAGCCTTGCTCCCGGTACTGATATGGATGACTCGCTTGCGCTTTTCTTGAACCTCGACTCCCGTGGCGAATGACGAACCCTGTACTGTGTTTAGTATACTGTAAGCGCTCGGAGGCCGACGGACCAAAATCTTATGTGCAGCTTCCTGTTGAAGATCAGTCAGGATGGAGATGAGCATGATACATAGTGACGTACCTTGATCTTCTCAACTTTAGCTTCCGACATTCCCTGTGAGTATATGCTGCAGTTTTATGGGTAAAACGAGATGGAATGGGCCCATACCTTGATTTTGAGTAGCTGGCGTCTCGTTGTCATGTTGACACCAGAGACGGTGTTTATTGCAGCAGACTGGGGAACGAGCGAATGAGCTCGCTATCATGTTAAGGAGAAGTGCACGCGCCTTGAGCTTCAGGATGTCTTGCACGTTGATTCCCTGACGCGCCGCTGAGAATGTATGCACGTCGGCTCATCAGAAAAGACAAACATGAGACTGAAGTTCATCGACGGAGTCAAAGAAAACTGGCTAAATTTGTCGTCGGATGCTGCACATGAATATCGGAGGAAAGATTCCACACCTCGTCGTCATCGTCCACGAGTGGACTGGCAGGGCGCGAAGCGACGGAGTCAGAGGATGGAGCGCGTCTAGGAGGCATTTCTTATATATCTGCTGAGTCTGAATATTTAAGAGAGTAAGCGTGAAAGACTCGGGGAGAGACGAGGGTCCTATTTGGGTCACATGCTGACCACCATTTATGGACACCGATTTCGTTCTCCGACTACCAAAGGCACCGGACATCGCGATGGGAGAAATCTGGGAAGAATTCATACTATTCAGGTTCTTGCTCAGATATATATGGATCTTGAGTTCCACTATGTATCTTATCTACGCGTTGTCTGGCGTTACATGGGATCAAGTAACGTGACCGCGTCGGAATCGCGAAGTCGGCTTCGGGGATTCAATGACATCCTCCGCCGGCTGCGCTCATCATTCTACCGGTTGCGCCTCTTCCAGCTCTTCTCATGTGCTGGCAATGTGCTCTGCATCCTTGCTGCCGGCTTACATCAAATTTACACTCTGACATCGGCTTATTAGAGAGCCTATCTTATACACAGGGCATCGGAAAAGGCGTGCCATCGCTTCAGCTTTCGGATAAATGATGTAATGTCGTAGTTTGAAGAAGCCGAGACAACTACGCAGACTACCCGGATGCAGCGGGACACTGATACGAAAACAGACGAAGTGTCGACCGGGCCGGCAGTGATATGTGGCACTTTGAGTTATCCTGCCTTGGTATGTGCCCTTTCAACCGCAAGTCAAAGAGAGAGTCCTTCCCGAGCTTTTTGAGGACTTGCAGAGCCACGTGAATGTCTTTGAACGCGTCGGGCACGAAGTAAGACTTACATGTGATTGATGAAACGTGACCGCGTCTGGCTCCGGGCCGGAGCCAGCACGCATCATATGCAATGATCTGCCCCGGCTAACCTTAAGTGAAATCCTGCTTGTTCTGAGCTCTGTTCAACAAACACCGGCTCCCTCTCATCATCCACCTCTTCCCCCCTCTCTCTGAATCGACCGCGTATCTCCCTTATCATCATCTGAAGTCATGGTCAGCAAGAGTGCGGCTCAAGATGCGAACTCACTCACTGTGCGCGACAACCGTACGGGGAAGACGTTCACCGTCCCGTATGTTTCGCCTGCGACGTAGTGGTAGCAATCTAAACGATGTCTCTGCATTCAGAATTGTCGACAACAGTATCTCTGCTGTAGACTTCAAGGCCATGAAAGCTCCCAAGGCGCCCGGGGAGCGCGATGAGAATGAGACCGAGAAGGGTCTACGTGTTGCGGACAAAGGCTTCTTGAACACCGCCGTTCTGCGAAGCCAAATCACGTACATCGATGGAGAGGCGGGTGTTCTCCGCTACAGGCGCGTTTATTTGATGTGCGGCGGTGGGGTTCTGACCTCGGATTGCAGAGGGTATCCTATCGAACAACTGGCCTTGCACTCGTCGCATCTGGAAACCGGCATGTTCAAGCTTGTTATCTACGCGCTTTCGTCTCATTCTACTCAGCGTATCTTCTCATCTACGGATCTTTGCCTACGAAATCCCAGTTTCAAGTCTTCCAAGATGAAGTCATGCATCATTCCATCGTCCACGCAGATGCTGCGCAATTCTTCAGAAGCTTCCGGTAGGTCCCGGGCTCAGGGATTTAAGCTTACTTTAATGACCACATGATCCTCAGGTATGATGCCCATCCCATGGCCATTTTGACCAGTGCTTTTGCGTATATCGGCTCGTATTACAGCGAGGCGAACCCTTCGTTGCAAGGTGCGCAGTCTCATACACTGGACGTCATATATACGGTATTCAAGTGCATTAGGTCAAACTCTTTTCACCAAGGGCGATGAAGCGTCTCTAGCAATACTAGACAAGCAAATATACCGACTTATCGGGAAAGCCACGACCCTGGCTGCGTTAGTATCCACGCTTGGTATATCTTTGCTGCGGTGTTGATGCGACGCTCAGAATGGCTTATCGAGTACGACAAGGCCGGGAGTTTGTGACACCTCCTACAGGCCTCAGCTATACCGGCTCGTTCGTTGATCTTATTACTGTCATTACTCCGTGTGACTAACATTGGACCAAGGTTTCTGTACCAAATGGACTATCTGGGACAGGAGAACTACGCACCGAACCCAGTGCTCGAAAAGGCACTAGATGTCCTGTTTCTGCTGCATGCTGATCACGAGATGAACGCGAGCGCTTCGTCCGTGATGCAAGTCGGCTCGTCTTTGGTGGATCCCTATTCGGCCATCGCGGCTGGATGCGCCTCTTTGTAGTGAGTTCCATGCCGTGCCGTGTTCTGTTCGCACAATGATGAAACATGTTCGCAGTGGACCATTACACGGTGCGTTTCATATCCTGCGATCTCAGAGTTCATCTTGACCGTCTCTAGGGGGGGCTAATGAAGCGGTGATTCGCATGCTCATCTCCATCGGAAAGTGAGCGCACAGTGGACCTTTTCCACCTGCTCTCTGACCGGATGTCAGGCCCGAGAATGTTCCCGCATTCATTGAAGCTGTCAAAAGGAGAGAAAAAGTCCTTTCTGGTTTCGGACACCGGGTGTACAAGACAGTGAGTGAGATTTGTCGTCTCTGCATGGCACGAAACGATGTCCCGCAGTCCGATCCTCGCTCTTTCCTAGTTCGGAAGACTGCGGATGAAGTCTTCAAGATGTGCGTTGTGACCGGGAGATGTCCCAAGCAAGAAACTGAACAGTGACAGCACGGGCAAGGATGAGCTGTTGCAAACGGCTATGGCTCTGCACGACGCAGCCATGAAAGATGAATACTTCATCAAGCGGAAATTGGCCCCGAATGTTGACTTCTGGTGAGCCCGAGGTGACACTGATCCAGAGCAGGGCCTCATCGTTTGCAGGAGGTGCGCTTACTTGGCAACCGGTGGCTTTAGAAACTGACATTGAGTTGCAGTGGATTGATATATCGGGCAATGGGTGCGGCTCCCTCGCCTGCCATTTCCGGAACTTGTTGAACAACGTGGCAAACAGGTTTCCCGAACGACTATTTTCCCGTGTTGTTCGCGGTACCGCGTGTAGTCGGCTGGCTTGCACACTGGCGGCAGGCAAGCATCTTTGACGTGACGTCACGGAGGACTGATGGCTCCCTTGCAGATGATGCTCCAAGGACGAGTTCAGATTTGGCGGCCGCGTCAAATCTATGTGGGAGCCGGCAAGCGAGATTATGTGCCAGTCGACGCCCGAGAAGCCGTCGAAGGTTTGCAAGAACAGCCCTCGGTCGTTCACCATTCCGGGTGCGCAAACTTGAACCTCGCTTGATCGGCATGGTTATTGACATGACAACGAACCCCATTCTAGGATCTCGAAAAGGACTCAGCTGGCGTCCTTCAAAGGGCAGGCAAAGTTGTAGTCGAGGCTCTTGGTCGGATCTTGGCCTCATGTCAGCCGTACATAGAGGGGGAGGCAATCGCGTTTATTGTACCTTAATTCCATTTTTTTTTACTCCGGTCAATTATCCCCTTTGTTTGACATCATTGTTGCGAGACAAAGCGAAACAAACCCAACATCAGTCCTGTTCCTTTTTCTCTCCACGACCTCCCTTACCTCGCCACTACTCTCCACCCTGCGAAAGATGTTCGCCACACTCGTTTCCCTCGCGCTCATTGCTGCCCCTGCTATCCGTGGTGTTGCCGCTGATCTGTCCATTGCTACCCCCGCCCTGACCCAGGTAATTGAACCTGCTTGTTTCTTATAACAGGGGTCTTGACCTTGTCCTCTCCAGTGCGGCGATGCTCATATCAGCTGGACTGCCTCGAACGGACCGTACAACCTCATTCTTGTGAACTCTACCGATCCTTGCGGCGAGATTCTGTGTGTTAGGGATCTAGAGAGTTGAGGGCCTTGCTGACTGGCCGCTGCAGCTCCGATCTCGGTGACCACGCTGGTACCCACATCACCTGGAAGGTCAACTACCCAGCCAAGTCTACGCTCATGCTCTCGCTCGAGGATAAGGATGGCAACGACGTCTGGTCGCAAGAGGTATGTCAATCATATCAGGAGTGTCAAATTTATCTCGTTGACGACGACACAGATGGTCGTTGCCGACAGCTCTGACGCCTCTTGTCTCAACAACGCTGCTGCCGCTGCCGTCTCTGTCTCTGCCAGCCAATCTGCCGTCTCTGTCTCGTCTGCTTCGTATGTTACCTTGAAGCTGTGGAATTCTCCTCTGACCTCTCCCAGGGCTGTCCCTGTTCCCACTATCCCGACGGACGTTGTCCAGGCCGCTGGTGCTGCTGTGACCGATAGCTCGACTACTGCAGGTGGTGCTGCGGTTGCAGGCGCTCTCAGCGGGTCGGGCCACTCTGGTGCTCTCTCGCTCACCTCGAGCCCCATTATGGCCCTGTGCGCAGTATTTGCTGCTGCTGCCCTTGCCCTGTAATCACTATACCCGCCCTTTTTTCCGCTCGGGTGCAACACCATCTCACCTCCATATCTTTTTCTATCCTTATCCCATTCCGACTCCCTATGGGTACAATGCCTAACCGGCGCTGGCATTATTTCTTTCAGATATTCGATAACGATGTAGAATAACGCTTTCGTTGGGGTTCGTTTGTTCATCGTCTCCTTGAAGTGAGGCGAGCTGGTCATTCTGGGCTTCCTCTCATCTGTTGAATAAATCCGTCCTTGTCGTTATACCTCGCGGAATCTATATACCTTTTAGTGGCGGCGCCCTTTCGTAGCAGTGTTTGTCTCAACTTGACCTTCAACCATCATGTCAGATTGGCACTCGATGCAAGTGAACTGGTCCGGCAAGCTCTGGGCTCGACGCTGACAAGACATCTAAGAACGCTCCGGATTCCATTCGTATCCGCTAAGCACGCGCTCATTGCCATGCAAACCATCCAGGTGGATAGCGAACTGCAACCGCACGCCGTGAAACGCGTGTTGTCCGTCGAAGACGAGGTTCTGATCGCGTACGATCTTTTTCGTTTGATTTCGAGGGCGCATCGTCGTTTACCGACTGACATGTGAATCCCATAGCACATTCGACACGCTCACTGTGCGATTAGCACGTCTCACCGTCAATTCATTCCTCGAAAATGTCGACCTCGTTGTGCGCACATTACAACATTTTGGAGAGGACGCGGAACATGGAAAAGGACTACATCCATCATGAACATGCATTGTACAGGATTCAACACACAACAGTAGGGAGACAAGACAAGAGCACTCGAATGTTGTACGATATGATGTGATGATACATTTATTCTTCCTTCTCGGCTTCAGCGCCTTCACCAGCCTCCGTCTTGGCCTTCTTCTTCTTGCTCTTCTTGCTCTCGCGCAGACTGCGAGCCAGCAGGGTCTTCAGTTCCTCGTCCTCGAGCTCCTTCTCCGTCTTGACGAGCTCAGGCTTGTACCATACAGGCGACTGCGTGATCAGTGAAGGGCCATTGGGCAGAAGGGCGATCGTGAAGTGGAAGGCAGCGACGAAGGTGTTGGCTGGCGTGTAACTGGGGGCGTGATGGTGAGTTCTCGCTGCAAACTTTCGGTGGACAGACGTACATCACTTCGTACGGCTTGACCAAACCATGCTGCACTGCTTCTTGCAGTCCCATACGCGATCGTTTCTCATCTTCGAGCGATCGGACGTTAAATGGGAAAGCACCTGATTTCTTTTGGACCTCGGAGAACACGGCACGCGAGTTCTTCATTTTGAGTTGATAAGTCACGGTCGAATCGCGTTGGTAGATCGAAGTGCGGGCCTCTTCGACACGAGCCTGGACAGGACGTTAGCATCATCACGAAGAAACGTGTCCGCACAAACCTTGCCATCGTCACCCGAGGAGACCAAGATATCGATTCCCCACACTTCACCCTCAGCAAATGTCGCACCCTCGAAATCACGCTTCTGGGCTTCGCTAGGGTTCAGGATAATACGTTTCTTCCCGTCGACCACGTTCTGAGTTTGTTCACAAGAGAGCATGCCTGTGTTTTCACACTTCAGCCTCGATGCAGTAGGATTGGACGCGTCGAATTACCTTCAACAGGCTTGCAATCCCACGCAGCGGCGGTTTTTCCTACAATCTCGGTCACGGCCCAGTTTTTGTTGCCGGCTTTGATTGTGCGCATCGCAAGTTCCGAAGCGTGCCAAGCAGCCTTCAGGACGTCGGCGCGTCGGCCTGTTACAGGGTTTTCCGCACTTGCACCAACGACGATGGTCTCGGCGCTGATCGCCGCGAATCCATCAATATGCGCGCCTAGATGCAGCTTGACCATGTCATCTTTCGCGAGCGTCTGGGACGATTGTGGGTCTGACCTGGCGCAGAAAACACGTGAGATGGTCAGGCGTAGGGACTAGTCACAGTTCGGGTCCGACGTACTCGAGAGGAGAAAAATGCGCGACGCAGTTGTTGACGGAGATGGACGTAGGGAACGCGAGTCCTGTAAGCCGTGAGGGATTGGAAAAGAGGGAGACGGGGCGACATGTTCGCACCCTTCGTCACTTTCACGCCCTTGATGGCCTTGTTGTATACGGCACCGGTTCCCGCCTCGACGAGCTTGTCGCCTTCGATGCAAAGATCGATGACTTTCGCGCCTTCAACACACAGCTCGATGAGCTTCTTCGTCACATTGTGCACGATTTCGGCGGCAATCTAGAGTGTTTTCATGAGCCGTCTTTTCCGCGTTTTCGAGATGAGATGGTCGTGTGAACCTTGTACTTGGTGAGATCGACCTCCGTTGCCGAGGGCGCAGCGGGTTTCTTCTCGGCGGATGGCTTTTCAGAGTCCGACATAATCAATGCGCCGCGTTCGGAGTGAAGGGGGTGGGGGTCGTGAAGTAGAATCTGAACTATCACAGCCACAATATCGAGCTGATCAGCGTGAAAAAAATCCTTGGGTTTCCTGGGATGTAAATACAATGTGTATACTCGAATATGATCCTACAATGATAATTAATGGAGATACAGGTATGGTGGTCAAGGAGAGGATGGTAGTGGTGCAGGGGGTTTCCATGCAACAAACGCGCGAAGGGAACGACAGATATTACTTGACCTGGGGGGCTCCTCGATGATTTCAGTGTCGTGTGTTATCATGCGATCCCGCCAAATCCGCCAGTCAGAGGCAAATTCTGGTTCAGACCAGCGAAAGTCGGATCCCGCCCGATTTCGCATGGCTATTCGATCCGCCATGTCACTGAAAACAAATGAACAAGACATTTTGGAGAAGACATCAGAATCGCACTGCTCCCAGTTACTCCAATCTGTCTCGAAAGCTTCTCTAGTGGAACTCGAGTGATACGACATCCGTGTACGGGCCCTGGTATTCATTGTTTTGGAGATAACCGGTGGAAGCGCGTTGGGGTTTAATTTTGAGTATTCCATCCAGATGGCCTCTTTGCAGGCTGAGACGGAGCTGACGGCCTTGCCGAGGTGCATCCGGGCCCAGTACGGCGTGATCCGATGGGAAGACGTCGTTGACTTGGACTGGATGGAGACCCTATCAACATCTTTGGATAGCCGGCGTGTCTGGTCGTAATAAACAGCGTCTGAGTAAGATTCGCCACTGCTTCGCGAATCACTGTCCATTTCAAACGAGCTCGCCGGTAGTGGAACATGAAGTGACGGATGGGTTTGCAAGTTGTCGAATAGGGTGGAAAGGTAGAAAGGCATGACCGTCGTCACGCCTGGCGTTAAGAATCTCTTGGTTAGCATCGCATCCCATGCAGTTTTGAGTCGGGTATGGTCTTGGGGATGGCCGTCAGATGGATCAGTTCCATACACCTCCGAATCCTGGGTAAAAAGTCCGTCCGGCGAAAAATCAGTATCAAATGGTATAGAACTCCGTGAATGTTGGTAGTCGGGGTGTGCTTCGGGCAGAGTGGGTAGGCTGGGACGTTTGTGTATCCGGACATCGACAGGACTTCCAGGGACGCTGGATTGATCGGAGAGCATGGTGCTCGAGCTCCTGATCGAAAATGCGCTGGGTGGCGCTGAATCTTTTCTCTCTCGACGTGTGAAATCGAGGTTGAGTGGGGCTAGAAAGCGTCTCGCAGGCGGTGGCGGTGAGCAGGGGAATATCAAATCCTCCTCAACGATCTACGGTAACGTGAGCCTAGTGAGGGTCTCCCCGCACGGAATCTCACCTCGATGACGCCGTTGTACTCCATCACCCGATAAACATCCTGCGGACGGGTTTATACTAGGAATTGGACCCTGAAGGGGGGTGCTGCTCACCTCAAGGACATATTGCCACTGCGTTGAGACGTCAGCTGTCGAGGTGAAAAGGACGGGGGAGAACATACTTCGTCCTCAGGGACGCCGAGGCCAATTCCAGCTATATGCACGTAGTCGAAAAAGTTTGACGCGAAGGGGAGCCCGTCCAAACTATTAATGCGATTTGAATGAGTGTAAGAGCCATGAGTTCCCATCAGAGGCTTACAGATTTCCATGGACCCATTTTAATCGACCCGCTAACTCGGCGACGATGGGAAGAGAGTGCGGAGACTTGTTAGAGTCCTCTAAGCATCTCATGTAATGTGCATCGAGTTGCATAAGGTCGGGCTGAATGTCCGTAAGGTCAAAACCAATAACTTCAGCGTCCTACACGTAAAAAGTCTAAGCTTGGAGTCAGAGTCATGACTACAACTGAGGCTTACCGGCCACCGTCTCGCTGCCTCAATTGCCCAGTAACCTCCCCCACAACCGAGGTCAAGTATCCTCCGAGGGGGCGAATCCGAATCGAATTGGTGCATCGTGAGCCCTCCGAAACAATTTTGGAAGAACATCTGATCCCAGTTGTCGCTGTCAGAGTCGACGGGTTCAGAAGAGTCGATGGCTGGGGGGACAGAAACGCGTACAAGTTGATCATGTCGCGTGAGTACTGGAGTGGATAGATGCTCTGTCCGGGACGGCGACGCGATGACCTCTGTTTCATAAGTAGAGCTTGTACATCCTTCTCCACGGCACTTCGGATGGGTATTGGTGACGAGAAGGAGTCGAAGGAAGGACGGGAAGAGAGCGACGGCGGGCTCATGGTGTCGAAAAGTAAGGAAGGTTTCCGCAGTTGGTTAGCGAGACATAAATAACGGCGACCAGGCAAGTCTATGAGCGTAGCACCATTTGGGCAGGCTCAGATTATTGATATAGATGGGATGCCTCCTTTGGGGCTCATCAACTTTGCTCCTGTGGTGAGTTTGATGATTAGCCACACGTCTTGTTTCCCACCATGATCTCTCCTGTCCGCCGTCAGTTGCTGGTTGGAGCAAGAGCTTCACGCTCTGCGCTGGTTCGCCGATACGCCACTGAACCGCACCCCCAATATAATGGCTACCCCGAACTGCCCGATGTCTCCGCTCAATACCGGCCACCTCTGGGATGGCAAGACCGGCTTTTGCGTCGTAACTTCGGCGACACGGTGCGGAACAGGAGCTCTTGGCTGCCCCTGGTTCTGCTCTTACTTCTGCCCAGATTCACCACTATGAGGAAGTGAACTCTATGTGGGGCCCCGATATCCCTGTCATCCCTCCTCAGCAAGCTCTGCGGCAATTCGCCATCGCTGTTGGATGTTTTGTGGGAGGAGGTCTCTTCCTCCGTGCTTATCTTGTGCCGGAAAGTCCCGTGGTTCCGAGAGAATACCCGTACAACGGCCTGGCTGTAGAACTTGGTGGTGGTCGTAAGGTAGACGCTCTTGTCAATCATCACATGCAATGCTAACCGCCCCTGGTAGGCCAACCCTGAAACGTCAGAAGAATCATGAACGGAATATATCCAGTCTCGCTATTTTCAATCATTATTCCGCCTACAGGCTAGCGGGGCCATGTTTCAGACCTTCTTTCGCGGCAAAACGGACCCACAAGGAACAACAAGGGGGGCGGCTGCCTCGCCTGGAAATGGTTTACCGATCCTCATGTTGTCCATCAGACTGTGAATTCTACGCGTAGAATCTATGAATGAGCTGCTCGCTACACCGAGACATGTGTGCAGATGGATATGCTTTATCGGAAGTACATATGTGCAAACGATAGACTGACATCATTCGTCCTGCCTGTGTACCGACCACTTGAGCCTGCACGAATTGAATAGTCGAGCCCGTGGCTTTCAGGGGTTCGATAGTTGATAATGACATGTCAACGACTCGATTGCTATTTCTTACTATGACCGTTGACCACTGCCTACATGAACAACATGGACACTGGGGCGACTCCCCTGGCATATAACCATGGCGCTCGGCATTACTCTCGACTGCCTCAAAGACCTAAAATGCACCACAGGTTTCTTCCAAATATAGACACCCGTGACAGCGAATTGATCATCCGTGCTGAGGCTTGTCGTTCATCTCACCTTCCACTTACTTTCTCCATGTTATGGTCGCATCCACCTTACTTGCTCTCGGGCTACTGATACCTGTGATATCTGCGCAAAACAACAGGGTATGTGCGCCAATCTGACGGAAGAGAACCGGAAGGCGTTTGTCTAATGAAGATTTGATGCACAGAACTCTAACAGTGTGGTTCGTCCTGGTGCTTGTTACAGCTCCACTCCATTTCACGATTCTCTCAGTTGTACAATGGAAAAGGACAGTCACCCTGTGAGATGAAGAGCCTATTCGAGAACACCTGCCATACATCACGCCGAGCAAGAGGTGCGCTATTCCCACCATTCACAGTGGCCGTTCGCGCCTCATTCAGGTCCGATCTTGCGCAGCCCTTGTCTCTACGAACCGTTTACGATCTTCCCCTACGCCCTGTATCTGGTGTGTTGGCCATCCGAGAATTGTGTGTCTTCTCATCGACATTTCAGTACCAATGTGTATTTCAATCTCTGGAGTGCCTGCGCGTATACGCAGAACTCCTCGCTCCCCTCCTGCTCAACATGGAAAGAAGGGTGTCACCAGGCCTCGGTCGCAATTACTACGGAGAATGTAACGCACAACACCGCCTTTCCGTCGTGGGCCTTCATGCCACTTCCTTCCAACAATGACACGTTCGATCTTGTTGGCGCGGTCGAAGCAGCAGAAGGCTATTCACATCGCTGGACTTCGGTCCAGATCATCGCTCCTGTCGTAGTTGGAGTGGTCGTTGCCCTCTCGCTGAGCGTGGGCTTCTACTTTTTTCTGCGCCACAAGCGAAGGCCACATACCCGTCCATGGATGCAGACGACCGGCAATCGACCGCGATTCCACTTTCCCACGCTCTCAAGCGTGAAGAAAGTCCGAGCTGAGAACCGCAGCAGTACGTGGAGCATCGACGAGCCCCCGGAAGACTGGAACCAGTACGAATTCGTCTCCTACCCACCGTCTCTGCAAGGATCTCATGGCGGTCATGTGCGATTATCCTCGAGTCCGACGGATCCGCCGCGTTTGAAGATTCCAGGATCAGGACCTGTGTACGCCCTGCCTGGGAAATCGGTGTGGAAGGCTCCCTTCCAGAATGCGCAGCGGTGGTCGCGCTCTATTCCGTTTCCATGGCGGACTCCGCGCGTGAAGAACGTCCCGTCGTACAAGAGGTTCCGTGTCGACGACGCCGACTCTGATTCGCCGTTACCCGAGCGCACTCCAGTGACGAGTGTCTCGAACTACGGGCGCAGCAATCTTCGACATGCAAGCAATTTCGACCACGACAACGATGGCGACAGTGACACTGAGGCTCTGCCTTTGATGGCAGCTCCAGTAGATCCGGTACCAGACATACCGCCACCTACAGCTCCGCCCAATATACCACTGCCACCGAGGCCTGTCCGAACCCCACTGCAATCGCCGGCGGTTGGTCATCCTTGTCCATCTTCTTATTTCCGAACTGACTGGCGCCCTTTAGCCCATCGTTCCGCCAGCGCCAAGAGTGGCGCCGCCTGTGCCTCCACTCGAGACACGACAGCGAGCTCGCGATCCAGCTCGTCGCAGCATCAGTCGAGATTCAGTGCGGACATTGCCCCCCACACCCACGCCGCCGTACCACTCGCGAAACGGCAGCTCGGCGTCGGGACCCCCGAATTACGCGCCGCCCATTGCCAACGAACCGTCGGGGGACCGCACAAGGTCCGTTCGACGATTGCCGTTGCTACCATCGTAATGTATCTGTAATTATACGCGGACATCATCTACGTTCTTGTGATTCGCAATGAATGTGAGCCATTCATCGAAGTCAAGGGCGTTCGCCATCATCCATATATGTTTCGACAGCCATCGAACATGCTGTGAATGCACGCCTGTCTCGCATCGCTCGGAGTGCGAGCCACATCTCGTTAGGGGCGAATGCTACTGTCACGAGAAAATAAGCCCTGGTGTGGCGTTGCCCTCGGCTGCGGCAATCACCGACAGGGTGCGCTCAAAGATGCAAAACGACAAAAGTCTACAAGAAAGTACTCTACATATCGGTCTATTGATTAATTGGCACAGGGCCATGATCTACTAATTGCACGGGCTGGAAACGAGATCTCCGTGGAGGAACCGCTTCGTTCAGATACATATCAACCGCCTCCGTGTCCGGAGAGCTGTCCCGGAACGGATTCAGGTCAAAGCTCGATTGGGGGATCGGGCTGTCGAGGAGTCGCGATCTCGACGGCAGCCTCGAAGAGACACTGCTGGTCGCAGATAGCGGAAGCAGTGACGAGGGCGGAGGCGAGTCGTAGCGGTCGTCACTTCCGAGACTGCTACTTCTCGGTGTGAGCTGTCGCGAACTTGACAGGGGCGTGACGGGGACTGAAAGTGGCGCGGGCACTCTGATCAGTCCGATGTTGTCCCTGTACAGATTCGCAGTGTTGAAGCCTTCTCTAAAGCCTCCGTCAAAACCTGCCGAAGACCGGGACGTGTGCGAGGCAAACGATCGCCGGCTGTTGGCAAGCAAGGTCAGTGCACATGCTTCGAGGCGAACGCGATCGACGCTCACTTTGCCTGCACCCGGCCTTCTCGGACGGCCTTATCCCGCTCAAACTCTGACCACCGCTTCATCACAATATGCGAAGAATCAAACTCTCCCTCTTTATCGCCGGTATGCGTCGCATCGCCCTCGATCTTCCGCGTCTGGCCCCACGAAAAGTCATCGAAATGCCAATACGCGTAGGCGGGAAGGATGCCGTTCCAGATCGGCAGACTCAGCAGGTAGATCAACATCCAGCCGACATACGCCACTTTCGTCGAAGTGATGACAATCAGCAGACCGGGCAGCCCGAGTACCAGTGCCAGCAGCACAAGCGACACAGTGTTGTTCGATCCACCGGGCACGATCGAGCTGATGATCAGGTAAAGTGTGAATGAGATTGCCGCGGGAAGCACCAGAGTGCCCAGCAATTCGACCGCAACCATGAATTGCATCGAAAAGCAAAACGTCCCGCACGATTCTCGCACCAAGACAAGCTCAAACAGATTATGCACCGTCGAATTGATCCATCGCCGCCGCTGAGAAAGCAATACGCTGAAGGTGTCGGGGACGATAGTTTTGCAGATGGCTTGCTGACAGAATATATTCTTCCGCTTCGGAAATGTTTTGAGGAGGAGCGTCGTCAGATACCGGTCCTCGCCCAGAAGAAGCAGATTCTTTTTGTGCAACGTGTCGACGACGTTCTCCGAATAATGCTCAATGATGTCCGGATTCGCTAAAATGGGAATCCAGTACCCGGACTGGTCGTTCTTGGGGGCCTTGATGCGATACATGCTAAAGCATCCCGGGAGACAGGAAACGATGCCAAACAACGATTCGAATGCCTTGGTCAAATGGTGCGAGATGTAGTACTCAAACACTGGAGTATTGCCAATGTCAGCGGAGTGCAGCACCACATGCTCAGGGACCTCACCCTGAATCATTGCCACCCAGGAATCCGCCTTGTTGGCGATCTTCGTTTCGCCGCAGAGGCCCATGATGCTGACGTCATGCACCATACACGCCACCATCCGTGACAACGAGTCCGGAAATGCCTTGGTGTCTGCATCGACACAGAGCACGAGCTCATACTTGTCTGGAGAGACACCAGTCACGCCCCAAAGAGCGTTGAAAAACTCGTACTCCAGCGTCGTCATGCGTTCATCGAACATGACCTTCTCCAGGAAGGACATGAGCACCATCTGGCTGTCGCGTTTCCCCCGGTTCCCAGGCTTGCTATCGCCCGCCTCCAGTGGGTTGCCGCATTTGGCGATCAGAACGATCGGGACGCGTTGCTGTTTCGACCGCTCGCACGTCACATCATCATACTTGTAGAAACCGGAGAACACCTTCGCCATGTTGTGTCGTTTGTGACCATCGGCGATCGCAACATACGAATGCGCCGGGACGTCGCTCCAGGTTTGCGTCTCCTTCATCATGGACAGACAGATCTCCGGAGTCGTCAATTCGTTACCAGCACCTTTGACCATCCCATCGGCGATGATCAAAATCACTTTATGCGAGTTGGGATAGTCCGTCGTGGCAAGCGAGTCTAGGGTCGTTCGCATTCCTTCTTCTGATTCCGAGTAGGCGGTGACAAGACATATCGTATGGGCCAAAGCAAAATTGAAGGGCTCGTAATCTGGTGGAGGCTGAGGTACCACACGATGCGACTGGAATGGCAAAGGCGAAGACAGTGTCGGAGTTGATGGAAAGTTGAGGGACAAAGCTCTCGGTCTCCCGTCTACAGGCGCCGTGCTATATCTTTGCGGAACAGCCATTGAGAATCGGGACTGGGCAGGCAAGAAACTCCTCCAAGGTTTCTTGAGTACGCCATTTTTGCCAACATCCGGTCGATATCTATTGGGCGCAGGCAGATAGATGCCATCTGACCAGGCCTCGATTTCAGCAGCGCGCGTCTTCCTCTCTTCGGCAGTCTCTGCGGGAAAATTCCCGACCTTCCAAGCAAAGAACCACTGATAAAACACAGCCAACGCGAAGCGCAGTGCAACTACACCGATGATGGTGATCAAAGATGCGTATAAGACGACTTTCGAAGCGACGCAGCCTATCGAAGCCGTGTCGATGAATCCGACGCTGATGACGTCTTGCAGACAGCGGCCCAAGGGACGTCGATCCATGCGGTAGAGTGCCATAGTGATATCTTTGTTGCTGTAGACGCTGCCCGGAAGCTTCATGATATCGAACAGCGAGGGATAGTGGACTTGACTTGGGCTCAGCCATGACAACAGCTCCAAGTCCAGAACATGTCTATCAATGTAAGCCGACCGAATACCGGTAATCTGAACACTTACGATTCAAACACAGCAAGATTTCGGCTCCTATTACGAACGTCTGACCAGGTGAAATACACAGGACCCTGTGGCTTGAGGGAGTTCAGTCCAGACCGCGCATTGGTTGGGATGTGGCAAGTAGTCGAGCTTCCGTAGGCCGTGATGTTTGGCGACGTAGTACCATATTGGCTACGAACATTACAGGGAAAGTACCATTGTAGGACATCCCCCGTGGACGCAATGCCGGAGTTGGGAGCCTTGGTGATGATACCACGGCAGTTCTAAATAACATCAGCTGTGCTGCACTAAGATAGAAAGTGGATAGCATACCTGGTTGACCTTCTGGAACATGAAAGACGCGTCGTTTCCGCCCAGATTCCAATTGCCGACATACAGCGGATTCTGGCTTCCGTTGAACTCGCCAACGGCCGGGTGGCTGAAGCTCGAGAAATCATAGTCCCAGCCGTTGATCACGACAGACGAGGCTCCAATGGACCCATTTCCAATCGCCCCTCCGTGGAAAGTGTTTCCCCCAGCGTCACAGACGGCCTGGGTGAATCCAAACGTGATGAAGCCCACAAAGGCCATCAGAAGGAGAATAAGAAAGACGAGCCCTAGCTTTTCACGCCATGCGCGCTGTTGCTCGCGCGTGCGCAAGCCTGCAAATGGTCCTGAGTGACAGGAGAGTCGAGGGTGAGGATGTGCGCACCACAGCCCGTCATAGCGGAAATAGGTATCCAGCATGTCAGAAAATAGCAAAATAACATCCATGGGCCTTTTGGACCTGGCGCGTAATCTCCCAGGCAGCCATGTCGAGCAGCGGGGTGTAAGGGTGAGGCTGAGCCGGTAGGTTGACGCGATCTGCGTTTTCGACGAACCGTTGTCTTGCGCTTAAACAAACTCAGCCCAGACTCGTGTACTTCGACAGATTGGTCGCGTTCCAAGATGGATTTCCCCCGCCGCAGGGCGCCTGTGGATATGGTAATTGTCTGCCGAGAGAATCACATAGCGACGATGAATCGCACCTCGACCGGAGTAAAACTCCACTGCGCCACTTTCTTTCTCCTCCTCCAATTGCGCGACCCGGTTGTGGTAATGCCATTGGCGATGTCCTGGGCCGATTCGTTCTCGCTCAGGACGCGCCAAAGAACGCTTTCTTGTCACGTGACTGGCTTCCCCGGCCTCCGCGGCCTCGTCGTTCAAGGACAGAAAACCGATTCGGGACCCACTGCGGGACGGGTCGTGTTGAAAGGACACCGACGGGCCCAGGGCTTCTTCCATGTGAGAGCAGGACGACAACCGGAATTTAATTTCACATAACGATTAGGGGCATTTTGAAAGCTGTGACATCATCGAAACACCCAAGTTATGTTGTAGGTCAGGTCAATACACATAGGGAATGATACGGTACGGTACGAGTTTCTTGTACTTCTCCCAATCTTTTCCGTACCTGGGGAATGTTAGCCTCCAAGTTCATAGCGGAACGAGGCGAAGACTGACTTTTTCTCGCACATTTCATCGTCGCGGCGTTGACGATGAACAAGAAGAACAGCGAAGTAGATGACGTAGAAATAGGTAATGGGCGTGCTGAAACCAGTGGGCAATGACCAAGCCAGCGCCATCAGAAGATCACCCCTAGCACACAATGAGAGACAGAAAACGGCGAAACACATGCGGCATACATGTAGTTGGGATGTCTGGAAGCGCCCCACCAGCCAGATGTCAGCAGCTTCGTACCACGTTCAGTAGGCATATACTGGAGATCTGGAAAGACATTGGATAAATAATGTTAAGCAGGAAGCGCTGGCTACTCACTCTTCGGGTTCTTGCCGTTCCTGAAGTCGTTCTTCTCGCCGTTGGCAGCTCGGAAAATATAGTAGCCCAATCCGTTGACGAGGAAAATGGCCGCCGTAAGCCAGGGACCCAAAACTATCGGGTTGAACACGAGATAGCGGGCCTGCAACGAATACACAAATGGCACCCAAGCAAGATCGCCCACCGACAGCATGAATCCAAATCCGTCTGACGTGATGTCCATTTGTGTAAAAATCCCAGACTGAAGAGAAGTCATCAGAGACTGGATGCACAGCGATGTGTCACGCACCTCGTTGTAGAGTGCGTCAACAACATAGGCGCCTTGGAAGAATAAAACAAGCCACATCGAGTCGGTGACTTGATTGATTCCCCCGCGGCGTACAGCCTGTTCACAGGCCATGCTGATATCAATGAGTACCCAAAGAATTAGCCCGGGCCGCAGTTCGTTGAAGGTTTTCAAATCAAACGTTCCCCAGGACATCGGGTTCAATTCGCGGCCGATGTAGAACTGCAGAACTCGTTTGTTTCATAAGCCCGCAAAGTCAGGGAGGATAACCCACGTCATAAATGAAGTTACCACTGTTCCCACCGAGGGCGAGAATGGCGCCGGGACGGAAGGATGCCGCGTAACATGCGACAGCTTGCACAACAGACATGAGGATGGACGCCGTGATGAAGCCAACAAATTTGTCATGGAATATAGTGAAAGACTGAGGACCGAAACGGTAGATCAGTCCGCCGACTACACCCAAGGCAAGCTGGCCTGTAGCGAATGCTAAAACATTCTTCTCAGAACACCGAGCGTCAGAAAGAAGGAACATAAAGGTCGTACCATTAATTTTATAGGTTTTCCTTCCCCCAGTGCGCAGTTCTGTTCCCTCGACAAGATCTCCGGGAAGGACGAGCCACGCGAGAAGTGTGGAAGCATACCACGCCAGGTATAGCAGCATCGCCTGGGTGTCCCATAGTCCCTTCCAGAACGCCGGATCGGAGATAGCGAGCGATATTTGTTCAGGTACCAAGCTGAGAGACGGGGGACAACCGCCGGATTGCTCGGAGCAACCAAAGTAGAGAGCGTAGGTGGCGATGGGAACACCCACAGAGATCAAGAAAGCGCCTGGAGGCCCCAGAAATTCGTAGGAGGTAGTGCGTGGATTTAATTCGGAAGCCATGTTAGTGGAGAGTTGGTCGAAACAAAGAAGAAAGTGGTGTGGTCCAATGTATACACGCCTCGTACGAGATGACGCGTGACCGTAGTTTCATAAGGGGATCCGACTCCGAAATCGTGACGCGTCGGGTCACGCGTCATGAGCGCGTTGGAAGGACTTCCCCATTGGGAGCGAGTCGGCAATATCAAGCTCATCAACGTTCTTTCTGTTCTACCAAGTAACATCTTAAACATGCTCTGTCTTCTCCGTGATCTATTCCTGCGACGCCTTCCTCATCCCTCTCCCGTATCACCGGGCCTTGATGATCACCAGTCGCTTTGCCCCTAACAGCCGCTTTTCTCTCTCGCTCACCTCTCCTGTTCCCATCTCTTTCATGAGCGACCCTCTTGCTGTACAACTCAACGATCTTGCTACAGCAAACTCCGACGGTCTTCTCAAGTGGGTGATCAGCCAGCTGCAAGTGAATTGTCGCTGAGATTTCTGAGCAAATAGTGAAGAGGAATATCGCCTCCTGCGTCAGAATTTATTTGAACGGTACGCCGGAGGGACTGAAGTGCCCTCCGTCAATACTTCTTTCTCACTGAAGCCTCGAACTATCGGTATGTTCGTCACTAGTCCCTTGACTTTCTCAAACCCCAGGGCGGATCAGAACCCACTTTGAAAAGAGTCGAGTTCGTGCAGCAAACACCTTCAAGACCACCCCATCACCGTTCCAAGCTCTCTGGGGTTGCACTGCTCCTTCGACGTGCTGCCAGTCGCAAGGCGGTGCCGGGTCCTTCCTCCCCTCACAATGTCATCAGATTGAATCTATTTCCACGAGTGTTCTCCAAAAGGCGGGCCGGCGAATCTCTAGACAAACCAAGGTCCTCTGCCGAAATGAAGGGAGCATCCAGCCCAACTCGTCTGCCACAACCCAAGGACAAGTTCGATATATCAATGGCATCTCCATCGAGATCTGCATATGCGACTCGTCCATCGAACGATGTGATCCCGCAGGTGAACGTCGACACATTCGACGACAGCAATCTGCACACGGTTGAGGACATTCAGAAAGCCATTTATATCGTCGAGGAAGAGAGCCGTCGCCTGATTGCGGCCTTCAATAACCTCGAAACCAGTGCAGTCATACGATATCGGCAATTGCACTCAAGCTCGCCTGCTTCTAATCACCGGCCGCAGCCTAGCCTGTCTCATTCTCGATCAACTGTCTATCACATGTCCCCCAGATCAACATCTGTACCAGACACCCAATCTGTGCGATCTAGCAGTTCTCTTCGGACTACGAAGTCGACAGCATCCCTGTTCCAAAGTGCTGAGGCGCCCCCCTCTTCTTTACCCCGCACAACCACACAGATAACCCGCAAGGGATCCATATCGTCTCTCTCCTCCTCGTTTCTCAGTGTTGGGCGCTCGGCAGTTGCCGGGCTGAGCCACAACCGTTCTGTGTCACATGCCAGTCACAGCGCTACCCACCTCCCCCTCCGCACCGCCGGAACAATGATGGAGATACTCAATCCAAACACACCGCTGGGAGAAGGCGGCGGCGAACTTGCTGACGTCCGCCGGAGACGACAGGAAGTGATGGACAGGTGCGAAGCCCGGCTGAGCTTTCTGCGCGCCAAGTTGAAGAGTATCGAGCTGCGCGCGAAACTGATGCGGCACTGACCTCCATGTTTACGACATTCCATGTCATTATTTACTAGGTTCCATCGGGAAGAAGTGGTGTATTAGTGCGACTGTAGCGACTCTGACACACAAAACAAGAGGTACCAGAGCAAACAACAACAGGAGTGTCCAAATACGGGTATATAGGTTGATGGAAGTATGATTACCAATGCCATGTCATGAATGTATCCAAACGCACGAGTTCTGGACGAGCCGGCGGCCAGACCTTGTCAAATAATCTAAAACGAGATCTACGCGTATTTCTTGATGGCATTCAAGTAAGTCTGCCCGGATTGCCTGCAGACGAATCAGCCGCTGCCAACCGCAGGAGCAAAGAACTTACGAGAAACCGCCGCTGGGGCTCTTCATGGGCCAAACCGAGCCAAGACCCTCACCATTACTACAGCCGATCAGACACGACCACAAGACAGGCACACCATGTCATACCTGTAAGCGTAGGCAGCGACACGACCATCTGACTCAAACAGATCGACAATGTCGTTGATGAACTGGTTGATTTGGCCTTGGTCGGTACACGGAGTGAAGCCCGTCGAGTCGTCCACACAGGCAAATTCGGTGATCCAGAGAGGCTTGTTACCATAGGTGTTGTAGTAGTGGTCAAGATCAGCCTTAACGCCAGCCATGTTGTTCTTGTTGATGTGAACGTTCGTGTAGTCCCAAGGAGTGGAGATCTATGCGATAAGATGGTCAGTCAGGATCGCAGAAGAAACCAAGTCACACACCTGCTGAGAGAACTGCTTCAGCCAAGTCTCCGCCACTTGATGACACATCGACGGGCTGATGAGCTTGGTGCCCTTGGACTTGAAAGGTGCAATGTGCTGCTCCCAACCGCTCACACCTGAGCCTACGTCGAAGCCAGCGGAACCTCCACCTGCCGGGCAGTCAGGTTCTTCGAATCCGATGAGGTACTAGAATAAATATCAGCCATGTACTTGGCCAATAAATGCTCCTCATTTCTACCTCAGGGGCTTTGGTGAGCCTGGTGAAAGCTTGCAAACGAGCCGAGTCAGTGCCGTCAGCGGAGCCAAGACCCCAAAGCATGGGAACTGCGAGAGCAGAGCCCGATTGCTGAGGGTTCGGGGTCCTGGATCAAGGTTCAACATTTGGCTTCTGACTCCAAAAAAAACAAGCATACCAATCATACCACCAGCCGAGGTGGGGCATCAGGGTGGACAAGAAATCCCCTGAAGACGTTCCGGCCTTCTTGCCCCAAGGAGTAGCGCCCTGAGCCGCCTGCGACACAGCCGAGATTTGGGATCCGGAGTCGGTAGGCGCCGCTTGCTTGGTAGAGGTGGTCGAGGTCGTGTGGTGCGTAGACGTGGTAGATGTGGTAGACGTCGTGGTGTGCGTGGAGCTAGTGCTCGTTGTCGTCGGAGTGCTGCTCGTGGACATGGTAGTCGTGGACGAGGCGGTGGTTGACGGCACTGCAGACGAGGAAGAAGCAGAGGAGGAGGAGGAGGAAGAGGGGGGTTTGCATGAGCCACGACGGACCATGCGCCGTTCAGGGTTAGCGAGGCGCGAGTGAGCATGGCGCACATGGTTATGGCTGGCAACGGATTCCCCAGCCAAAACGGTTAGCACCAAAAGTGCCTGTAGGGATTTCCAGGAAATCATTGCGCCAGGTAAACGAGTGTGAGTTGAGGATGTCCTCGAGAGACGAGAGGTCGTGGAGAGAGGAAGAGGAGACGAACAACAATCACGAACAAACGCCAAGCTGATACTATCATTGACCCACTTCTGCAAACACTTTGATGGTGGCCTCGCTAGCTTGCATAACACACACCGAGAAAAAATAAAATCGAGGATACTAAAGTTAGAACCCTTGAGACTGTCTTCATGAAATTTACTCGCTATCTGTGGGCAGAGGATGAAGCCACGCAGTTGCCGAAACGATCACTTTTTTGGCGGGGCTGACCCCCCTTTTGCAATCGCTTGTCACACGGGGTCACACTTTGATGCAATCCGGCACGTCTCGGCAATGATGCGGCCTGACTGGACGTGGTCTCGCTTAAGGCTTGAATTGATGCCCTCCGTCACGCATGCTTCGTTCTCATGAACTGCGAGGACTGGACTCAGGATGTATCAACCATGCGTTACCAGTAGCAAATCTAAGGGTGTGAGCTTTTTTCCGCATCAAAATCCGAAATCTCTGAGTCAAGATAAGCAAAGAAGTGTTCTGAAAGTAGGTTTATGGTCTCGGGTGTAATTATTTCAAAATATGGAATGTATATGTTTACAGGAGCATTGAACAGCTATATATTAATTTCTGGGAGTCCATCCGGGACACGTTGAGGGATGTGGAAGCCCAGGAAATGTGTGTTTATCACGGATTGCAGATCAGGGTGCAATTGCAGAAGTGGGTCAATGATAGTAGCGGTGGTCAAACACGGCCGAACCTTTTTTCTGTTTTGATTGCGATCGGCACGTCGTACTTAAGTATGTATGTACATGATGTGCCAATGGTCATTGTCCCAAGAAGTTATTGGCACCCCTTATTCGCGTCTGGCCCATGGGAACAATCAACGACTACGATTGGGATGGACGTATGCTAAGGGCCTCCCAGAGTACAATAGGATCTGCCCATTTCTCACTCGTCATCTGATTCTGCGCGCTGAATTTCAGACAAAAATGCGCCGTCCAAGGGGCCTGTTCCAAGCAATCAGCGATCACCGCCGATCTACTTGAGACGATACGCACGTGCAGTGAAGTTCCCTGTGTGTTTGCCGAGGTAGGCGGACACGATAGGGCTCGGAGTATTCACAGAGGTCGTGGAAGATAGCAGTGTGTTTGTAGATGCTCCTGGCGCCATTGAATAATGCATGCTTTTGGTTGGTGTCGATAGCGGAGAGGGCGGATAGCCAGTTGAAGAGCGAAGCACAGACCCTGCCGTGCTGAAAGAAAATGCTTTCTGGGGCGACGGACTCGACTAGGCACTGTAAATTTCACCATTGATGGAGTATATCACGGAACAGCCTACATTGGTTGAAAGCCGCAACACACGCTGTGGGGTGGGGGGAGCCATTCGAAGATTCTTCACTTTGGCTGGCGTAGGGGGGAGCGGCGCGCGAGGGTATTTGACTGCATACACCGATTGCAGAATATTGAACGCCAATATCGTCGCCGTCGCGACTTCTGTGATTTCTTCTAGCCGCGGAAAACGCAAGTAGATCTCTGACACACACACCTATCGTGCAGAATGTGGAGTAAAGCCAGTCATTCGAACCCCATATACTACGCCTCCCATATATTGTGACAGCTAGCGCAGTCGGCAAAGCTGGAATGCGTGGCACGAGTGTCGACAATATGGCAAGAGCGAGCAGAGCGAAGGAGTTCCTCCTGATGCGAAGAAGCGCTTCGGTGCTATGTGGTTTGAGATAGTCTGAGATGGGATGCATGTCAAGCTCGAGATATTGATGCAATACCGTTAAAGAGAGCTGCGACTAGATGTCAAGTGGAGAACTTGGTCGCGGTCGCAAGGGACACGCGGCCACGTGATCACGTGGCAATGATGTGCGAAGGTACACGGCTGATTCATTGCGTTCTTTTGGATGTCTGACTACTCTAATCTATGAGCGTATGATAACACGCTATAGACGAAATCATTATGCTACAGAGATGCGGCCACATCTAGTGCCTTCTGGGCATCATGGATCAAATCCTCAATGTCTTCTACACCGACACTCATCCGAACTAGTCCTCCTGTGATTCCACGTTCCTCGCGTTCCGCCTTGGGAATAGTGGCATGAGTCATCTGAGCAGGATGTTCCGCCAAGCTGAAGGGTGTTCAAAGGGCGATTCAATATATGGGGTGAGATCACACACCTTTCGACGCCACCGAGACTTTCAGCAAGCGTGAAGATTCGCAACTCAGCCAGAAACTTCAGGGCTTGTGGTTCCGTCCGCAATCTGACGCTGACGATTCCACTGTACGGGAAATCGCCTTCGCCGTTCGCACCGACGTCGGGATACTGCTTTTGAATCCACCGCCGAGCGTGTGGACTCAAAGCACGCCAGGCAACGGCATGGCGCCTGTGAGAGGCGAGGCCCGGGTAGATGACTTCCTCGACGATGGGATGATTTTGTAGCACTTGGGCGAGCCGCAACGCAGATGAGCCAGCCGCCTGCATCCTTAGTTGCAGAGTCTTGGCACCTCGCTGGGCGAGATAACAGTCAAACGCAGAGGGAACGGCACCGTGTGCATTTTGCAGGAAGGTCAACTTGGACAGAAGAGGGGAGAAGGGGGGGAGGATGGCAGCACCAAGTAGTGCATCGGAGTGGCCGTTGATATACTTGGTCAGCGAATGCAAGACGATATCCGCTCCCGGTAGAGTGCTTCCGTCGTCCAATTGGATAGGGAGCAGTGGCGATGCATAATACGGCGATGAGAATGTGCTGTCTACGAGCACCAGCGGCCGTGTTGTGGGGAAGTTCTGGCCTGCAATCACGTCATTGTCTTGAGAGTATATTTCAGACAGCAGTGCAGATATTTCTGGCAATGACGGCAAGAGAAGCAGAGGATTTGTCGGTGATTCCAGCCAAATGAGCTGAAGAACTATGAATGAATGGGATAACACAGAGGGAGATCCAGCCCGAACCTTGGTATTGCGCTTCAAAGCCGCGCGGATCTGGTCCACACTGCCTTCAGGATCTATCCAATCGACCTGTAGTCCGGATAGCTCTTCCGCGACCCGTTTCATATAGCGCCATGTGCCTCCATAGACATCGCTGACAGCGATGATGTGAGCGTCCGTACCCATGGCTTGTATTACGGTAGCCGTCGCAGCACTGCCAGACGAAAAAGCGAGGGCGTCAGCTCCACCGATCTCTATTGAGGCAAGCATGGCTTCCAGCGCAGCCCGCGATGGGTTTTGCGATCGAGAATACTCGAAGCCCTTGTGGATCCCGACGCCGTCTTGTTTGAAGGTTGTGCTCAGGGAGATAGGAGGGATGACAGCGCCGGTGTGGCTGTCTGGCTCGGAGCCGACATGAACCGCTCTGGTCGCGAAACCCCATGTCGACCCGTTGTGCTTCTGAGTGCTGCCATTCGTGCTTGGAGTCAAGCCGTTCGTTATTCCAACCATGATTATCGTGGTGCTTGTGAATGAGAGTGGGATGAGCTGTATCCTCGCGACAAGGAAGCTTATAAAGACCTCTGAAAGACTCGGACACGGACCTAGGATCAGATTCCCCGCGCACGCGCACGCGATCTTACACAATAATGATGGGAGTCACGCCGAATTACAAACACGGCCCTCCGTTCCGAAGTGACCGTAGAATCGGATTCGAGTGAAGATGCACTACTAGTACTGCTTACAGTAAATGGATATACGGATGACCATAGGTCAAGTCGTCGTGGATCGACAGCTATTGAATCAAGATCATCCACGCTAAAATAAAGTAGAAGAGTCTATGGAAGGTCAGAGCGGAGTCGAAGAATCAGGGATGAGCGCACAGCAAAGGATAAACAGCGAGCAGGATTCTCTGCGGCTCAATTTGAGTGCCATCCAAAAAGTTGACGGAGGCTGAGTGAAGAGTCAGTGGTCACAGGAAAGTGTACTAGACTAGTCTCACCCCAGATGCACCATGCCCAAGCGAGAAGAGCGATCGGAGCTCTGATGTAAATGACCCGGACAAAACAACCCACGAGAGCGGCTATGTTGAGTGGTGCGATGCAATATCCAAGAACACAAAGGCCCTGGAAAAACGATCTGTGAATACGGTCATCAGTTGGAAACCAGAACAAGCGAAAGAGACGCATACACTCTGCCCCCTAAGAGCTGATATGAAGTTGATGAGAGAGGGAAAGGACAGAGAAGAATGACAGAAACCTTTGCTTGCACCGTCACGGTCAATGCACCAATAGAACAGATAACAACAACACTGGTAAAGATATTGAGGGATTGAGCTTTTGGTGCCTACAAGCAATGAGAGTCGTCCAGAAAGAAAATCCGCTCATACACTTATGCTCATCATTGTACCAAGCAGAAGACATAGGATCAGAGGACCCCATAGATCCCAATCCCTATCGGGGACGCGTTAAAGCACATTCGAAAAACTTCTTTGAACGAACGAACCGCAGCACTTCACGACTGGTGCTTTTCCGAGGATAGAGAACTTGCACGAGCTTGGTGTATATGGAAAGCAAATCTCGGCCCTGAAAGCAAAGTTCGACTGAATCCTCGGCCACCTCGAAATAAGCTCACAATGGTCTTGGAAACCGGTTCGTCGAGTGTATCACCTCCTGCGTATCTTGATACCATATTCAAGACTGAACTGGTTTTCCCGATTGAAATGACGCGTACCGTCTCTCCACCTGAAGTCCGCCGACAGTTGAACGCGCCGGGCGCGTAGGTCCGCTTCCTATATTGCCAGCAAGAGAAGGGCTAGCTAGTCCATTGCCTGAAGAAGGAGGAGCAAATTGTCCGAGCTCTGTGACGCGTCCTTTGCCTTTAGGCAAAGGGGCAGGAGATTGAGGTAGCGTTGGGTGTGAGAAACCTGGAATGCTATCCTCATCGAAGTCGTCGTCGTCTCCGGAAGCAACTGAGTGACTTGAGAGTTCGGGTGTGGAGAAATTTACCAGCTTCGATGAATTGGGAGTTGGAGGTGAGAGGAGTTTGCGGAAGGCCAGCCATTGTCGGGCGTGAAGCAAAGCACTGATGCCAGCACTTCCTTGTCACGGTACATGTGACGAAGCTTGTGTCACACACTTACGCGTCGCGACTCTCACCACAACCTCATTCCCGGTCTTTCTATCTGCTCGATATGGTGGGATTCTTCTCGCGTTTTCAAGTGTCGAGTACCGATTGCGCCACAGGGAAACGCTGCTTCCGGTGGTCTGCCTCCGCAAGATGGCGCTCAGAACCCTCAGAACAACAAAGACAAGCCTGCGAAGGAGGAGAAGAAGAAATGGGAGCCACCTCTACCCACGCGAGTAGGAAAGAAGAAGAGGCGGGGTCCTTCTGCAGCCTCCAAACTCCCTGCCGTTTATCCAACCACTCGTTGTCGCTTGAAACTACTGAAGATGGAACGCATCAAGGATTATCTGCTTCTGGAGGAAGAATTTGTTCAAAATCAGGAGCGCCTCAAGCCTGAAGCCACGCGTGAAGAGAAGAATGAAGAAGATAGGTCCAAAGTCGATGATCTGCGTGGTACTCCCATGTCGGTTGGAACCATGGAGGAAATCATCGACGACGACCATGCTATCATTAGCACCGCTACCGGCCCCGAATACTACGTTCCTATCATGTCTTACGTCGACAAGGAGCTCTTAGAACCGGGATGCGCAGTTCTCTTGCACCACAAGAACCAAGCTATCGTCGGCGTGCTCGACGATGACGCGGATCCTCTGGTTAGCATCATGAAACTGGATAAAGCCCCTTCGGAGAGCTATGCAGATATCGGTGGGCTTGAGACACAGATTCAGGAGATTAAGGTAGAGCATCACCTTTTCTCTGGTCCTTTGTACTCACTCTCCTACCTAGGAATCCGTCGAACTCCCGCTGACTCATCCCGAATTATACGAAGAAATGGGAATCAGGCCTCCGAAGGGCGTCATTCTGTACGGTGTTCCCGGCACTGGCAAGACATTGCTCGCAAAAGCTGTAGCAAACCAAACATCAGCTACTTTCCTTCGTATCGTTGGGTCGGAGCTTATACAGAAGTATCTGGGTGATGGCCCCAAGCTTGTCAGAGAGCTATTCCGGGTTGCAGAAGAACATGCACCTAGTATCGTTTTTATTGACGAGATCGACGCGATTGGAACCAAGCGGTACGTCCCTCGTATCACTCCTGAAGAACAAGCCTGTTTACTCGACCCAGATACGATTCTACTTCGAGTGGTGAACGCGAAATCCAACGGACAATGCTGGAACTCCTAAATCAACTGGACGGTTTCGATACTCGTGGCGATGTCAAGGTCATTATGGCGACAAACAAGATCGAGTCGCTGGATCCTGCTCTCATCCGGCCTGGTCGAATTGATCGCAAGATTGAATTTCCCTTACCAGATGTCAAAACTAAGCGTCATATCTTCAAGTAGGTGTTCCCTCTTGGGTTGTTCCATGGTCACTGACGTGTATCTGCGTTTTAGGTTACACACATCTCGCATGAGCCTAAGTGAAGACGTTGACTTGGAGGAGTTGGTTATGACCAAAGATGATCTCTCTGGTGCCGATATCAAGGCTGTTTGCACGGAAGCTGGCTTGCTCGCTCTACGGGAGCGTCGCATGCGTGTAACCAAGGCCGATTTTACATCCGCTAGGGAAAAGGTTCGTTCACCCATTTGATTAGGATTTTGGTCTCAATCGTTGCAGGTTCTCTACCGGAAGAATGAAGGGACGCCGGAGGGTCTATATCTGTAGTCTCATTACTACTTACTTGAACATGTAATTCCAGCTTTGTCATGATTCGCCAGTATCGATCAGAGGATGACCATATGCGTCACTTTCAGATATCCATTTCTGTTTTACCCCTCTGGTCCTCACATACTAGTCAATCAGCCAGCCCTTTCACTCTCTTGACCTGCAGAAAGAATTGAGAATCAGATGGCTGTCTCGGATTACTTTTGGTTCGATGACGGATCGCTCATCTTGGAGATACAATCGAAGAGGTTCAAGATTCATCGGACTCTACTCACAAGACATTCGCCGTACATCTCTTCTCTTCTTCAGAATGCCGTGCCGACGATGGCAGAACCGCAGGCAGTTGTTATAGACGCATCGCGGGACACGTCGGCTGAAGATTTCGAGGTCCTGCTCCAGCATCTGTACCATGACTTGTGAGTCCGGTGTACCTCCCTTAATCAAGTCGCTACTCCCCATATGCCATTCCTCGGGATTGTTCTTCTATCTTCCGATGCTAAGATCTCTTTGAAGCCCAGTCACGGTAGAAACCCCATTCCCTCGCATCGCCGCTATCGTTCGCATCACATCTCCTGGACAGTTGGTGCGACCATCAGCTTGTTGTGCCGAAGACACAAAAACGCATTGCTACTGTACAGCATTTCCCCTCCTTGCATGACGTTTCCTTGCGATACTTTGCCTCGCTGTTTCCGAGCGGACCCACTCCGTTCGTGCACCCGCATCCGTTAGAGGAGGCGCTGGATCTGGCCACCGCCTTCGAGGTGACTTCTGTGCGTCCTCCATATCTGACGGTCCCAGGTCTGAACTGATCGACTTTCCAGATCCGGAAGGGTCTCTACTACAGTCTAATGACTTCGACCGACTTTGACACTGGGCCTGCCTCATCGGACTTTGTTACGCACTCCGGAACAGAATCAGATACTCAGGCGCTATCCGCAGTGGCTGAATCTGCGGAGCTTCCTGGAAAGGTGCCCTTGGACATCTACAGACACACACTCTCTGCCAAAGACGCCCAAGTCTGTATGCATCTGATGACTCAATTCATAGAGTACTTCACCCCTGTGCTTTTCACGCCCCCTGCGACTGCGCACATGGCATGCACCGATGTTTTCGCAGACACGTGGCTCAGGTTGGTCATTGAGCCAGCGCTTGGGAACGAAGGGGTGTACAAGCCCCTCGAAACGCTGGAGAACATCAAGCACATCGACTGGGCCAAGCACGGTCTGTGCGAGGTTTGTGTTGTGGACAAGATTGCGGAGTGGTCCGAAGAGCAACACACAATATGGCGACTGATGGACGGATGGCTGCATGCCTGAACCCAGTGCCTGGCACTTTCCGTGCGTTTTCTCGCACCCAGATCGCTTGCAGGCTTCATCTGAAGGATATTCGCGCAGGAATCACGACTGTATTAGACCATGCGCCAATAAATGTATGCATTTGAGTTTGAAAGCCGCTCTTCGTTCTGTTCCAGGTCGAACAAGCCCCGTCCCACCTGATTCTCGCAGGATTCTTAATCAATTCTCTAATCCTGACGAATATATCGGTTCATCAACTGTGAGCACCGACTCCCGAATGCCATTGTCGAGCAGAAGTGCGATTATCTGCTCTGCGAGAACCTCTCTCCTTCGCCTGAGATGCTGATAAGCAACGATTGGTTCTCTAGTGGTCACCAATCTGCGCTCCAAGTTCAGGACAAAACGCCACAAACACCAAGACCCGGATCATTCGCTTTCTCTCTATAGCTCTACAAGGAGATTAGCAACTCAAAAGAGAGATGGGCAATCCGCATGTTGGTAGGACCGAAATCCTGCGCTATCTCCGTGGAGAGAAATCCTCTCAAATGACTCGACTTGTGCTGGATGTGTGTACTGATTTGTGCGTCCACCGCGAATTTGACTTTTCTGCAAATCATGTGGCGGCTTATGGATGCAGCATCTACAGCATCTTGCGAATATGAAATGTCCCGCACTTGAAATACCGACGCGCTCCTTGGTTTCTTCCAACTTCATCAGAACATTCCCGTGGAAGGTCTTCGATGGACTCAGTCGACTCGACTGCTGGTAGTCCACGACCCCCCTCGCAATTCGCAGACCAAGTCGGAAAGTTCCAGTGGGGTTCGTTTTTGTTCACAGGAAGGAAGGTTACGTCCTCTGGACCACCGAGAACGCACACCACGAGATGGCGGCCCTTCTCGAACTCGTGTTCTCGTAGCGGCATAGCAAGAGACCGCCTGTCTGACTTCATCTCAAGTCAGTATCACCAACTGCCGGTTAGGACATTATCGGTCATTATGCCTCATATTTCGGTCGAATGGCATTAGGATATATGCTGTGAGCGAGCCTTTCCTCGCGTCCTCCAAAGGTCAGATTTACATACCTAGCTGGATTCATCGTCCGACATCCGCTGGTGAGTTGCATGTTGATAATCGCAAATTGAACGCTCACACCACCAGGTTCTCTGTGCCGCCGCATTTTCGTGGACAGATGATCAACCGCCGCTTCTCATTATGTATTCACTTTCGATCCGCGCACAATGTCCTTCTTTCTCTCTCGCCAATTTCCCTCGACGCGAAACCACGTCTGGGGGCAGGGGTAGCAACGGCCAAGCAACTGAAGTCGCGAACAGACTCTTCAATCGGTTCGCGACAGTGCCTCAGCCAGTGGGCGTCTTCAAGAGAGGCCCCGCCGTGTGCGGCTTGTACAGGCCTTCACTGGCGGCGCCGGAAACGCTGGCGGAGAAACGCAACAGTGTCCGATCAACTGCAGTGTCCGGGGGAGTGCGCTGGCGACTGGTCGCGTAGGTGAAGATTTCCGAGACAAGGCTTCCGGCGCGGACAACTTTACAGAGCAAGGCTATTTGGGCCTCTGGAGCGCCTTGGAAATGCCGAGTCATAGTATGTGACGGATCAATCAGCGCATTGGATGCTCAGGCTGAGCGCGAGATCCTTAGACATATTCAGGCCGAGGCGATCGACAAGATTGTCGTCGTCACCCACAGGTTCGAATGTCCTGTATGAGAGGCGGACCTCGTCCTATCGGTCCCAGGATTTCCACGCATCGTACACATGTCGCGATGTTACTTTGCAGGTCACGCAGGATGGCAGGATAGTCCACGTGGCTCCCACATTCAGTTGATGCACGTGGCAGCGAAATGTCAGAGCTGAGAGCGGTCTGTCTACTGGTTGTCCATGCCGCGAATACATGGAGATGTTGGATGCGCAGGCGACATTTCAAGAGAACACATTTCTAATATTTTATTCTCTTGATCGGTACATTATATTCACAGATCATTATGAGCTTGAGCTTCGAATGAACCCACCAGAGATCTTAACCTCACCGGCCAATTATTTCCAAGATCAGGGTAGGCTTGAATTGCTCGCCGGAGTTGCAAGGATGCTCTGCGTCAAAAGAGTGACAGCACTTTTGGGACAAAGCGCACAATTGCAAGTGTGGTGACTGTGACTGTGACCTCAAAAATGACATATGCAATATACTATTAAACCGTATTGACCCACCACCGTCGCGCAACACGTGACACATTTGGTCAGGTGTTTGATGACTCTTGCCTTCAATTTTCGTCATCAAGTCCCACGTAAATGTGCACCAGCCACTGGCCATGCACTCGATTTCGGACTGAAGGCCAATGTACAATAGACGTAGCCAATTAATGTCAGAATTTGATTACTCACATGTTGGGTAGACCTTGATTGCAAAAAGTGCTCGTCTGTTATATACACTCTACCCATCACATAGGTATTCTTCAGTATCCAGTACTTACATGATGCATCGTTCGGACTACTAAGATCCCAGGTATTTGTCGCTCACTCCCACCCACAGGCTAGTTATTCCAAGTCGGAAAGCTCAGATCCCTGAGCTTTGTCCCATTTACTATCACACACACATTTTCAAGCCAGTGTCCCAGAATATCAACGCTGGTGTCTCCTTTGAAGCGACACACGCAATTCATAGACAGTGGCTGGTGTACATTTACATGGGACTTGACAACGAAAATTGAAGGCGAGAGTCATCAAACACCTGACCAAATGTGTCACGTGTTGCGCGACAGTGGTGGGTCAATACGGTTTAATCAATATACTCGATCGCAGACATTGACATGAAAACAAGGGGCTACGACACCGAAATTTTATTGTCCACCTTGCGTGGCGAGTGCGAGGGCCAAGTTCAGCCACAAAAACAAGAGAAGAATGCCACACGGAAGAGGAACAATGTCCTTATTTGTTGTAAACATACTATAAACAGACATCAACTTGCAAGCGCGTGTTGAACGCTTTGCCCTCGGATCTGAATGCACCCCGACCCTTCGACGCGACTTTGAGCTCACCAACTTTATCCTCTGCCACCATCCGTCGAAACTCCCGAGTGCAAACCTTGTTGCTATTGCATGTCATTTGCGGGCACACCTTTAGGTCAAGGCAGACGTCTCGATCACAACGCTTTTCTGGGCAAACCACAATCTTCGCGTCTCAACAGTCATACCTCTTACGCCTACGGGTGCGGCTGCCACCCCTTTGTCCTTTTCGACTCTCGTTGGCTGACTCCTCGTCCAGGGCACCAGCATTAGGCTCGCGGTCTCCACCCAAACCGCCTCGCCCCGAAGATCAGAGCGAAGGCGCACTCAAATTGCGACGCGGCACATCCCACACTTCCGATAATCAATCTCAGCCACTCGAGCCCGAGAAGTGGAGCGTCAAGGACACCTCGGTTAACATCGCAGCAGCCTTCCACCAGGCTGCGACTGACATGCAGCCCAACAATGCCTGGGCGTCCGGGACGTCACGCACCCAAACCCAAGTCCCTCGGAGCACATCCGTCGAATACGAATCACAATCACAATCTGCTAGTGCGCGCAGGCTCGCGGCACCACCCAGCAGAGGCAACATTCGACCCCCAGCGTCTCGCACTAACCCCAAGCCCCTCTCCAAGAACACCTCCTTGCGGAGCGTTCCAGACTCTGAAGGCGAGGAAGACACCTCCGCGGACGTCAGTAACCGCGACAGCACGCCGTTTGGCCAAGTCATGGGCGCTGCTAAGCGGGCCATCATGCCAGCGGCGAACAGTGTCGTCTATTACGCACGAGCCCGTTCGACAGAGCCCGATGCCCCGGTCTCGGTGAACGGCAGCTACGACTACTCGGCCGAGGAGCGTGTCGTGCAAAACCTGAGCACCCGCTCATCCGCGAGTCACAAGCGCAACCGAATGTCTACGGACAACAAGGCGTACAAGCCCTCGACGTCTGACCTGGAGGAATCAGACGAGGAGTTCACCGATGATGATGGGAAGAAGAAGCGGAAAAAGAAGAAAAAGAAGGAGGCGGGGGGAGGACCGCTGACGACCCTTCCTGTGGCCGGATACGATAAGAGGAGGAAAAAGAAGAGGACGGCCAAGGGCGGAAATGCCGAGGAGGAGGACGAGCAAGGCTCTGGGAGTGACTCTCAGCATACTGAACGGGTGCGTAAAATAATCTCATCCCATTATATCATCTCTGAACTCCTTGGTGCAGCAGTCGATTGTCAAAGCGCCCTCACTAAGGCGCTCGGTTCCGCCTGAATATCTAGAGCCTGTCCCCGACACCTCGTTCGAGGACGCCGAGCAGGGTCTTCATTCCATTCCCGAGGTCGACGAGGAAGATGTTAGAGCCTCCGCTCCTCCACGATCTCGATCTCGATCTCGATCCAGAGCACCATCCACTGGACCGCGAGGGTCTCACTTCAGTATCGGTGCTGTCCTGGGCAAGATTATCTTCTCCCTCTTCAACATTTTCGGGCGTGTCATGGGCACTGTCGTGGACCTCATTCTGATACGACCACTACGCTGGGTAGCCAACAATCCCATACTCCAAGTTCTGCTTATCGCCGCTATCGCCTTTGTCGCATCTCAGTTTGTACCCAATTTCGGGCTGCGCATGCCGTGGGGAGGCAGCCCAGTCTATCAACCTTCTGATGTCCCAGCGAGCACAATCGCAGAGATAGCTGAACGGCTCAGACGGATGGAGCTTGCGCTTTCTGGCCTGTCTTTGGACTCGGAAAGAACGCGGGCCAAGTTGGATGACGAGCTGCGTGTCCAAACGGAGCTAGCCACCAAGTTCGGTTCCTTGGAGACACGCGTGGAGAAGGAAAGTGCCAGGACCCATGAAGCTGAAAACGCTGCACGAGATGCCACCGGCCACAGCCTCAAGACGATGAAGAAGGACATGGAAACGATGCAGGCTCTGTTGCAAGCGGTGCAAGGCCAGAGTCAGCAACCGCACGCTGGAACGGTCACCGTCGAGCACGACGTCGAGGCTCGCGCCAAACTGAAGATTCTCGAAGACCGCGTCGGATCTGTCGAAGGCGGGGTGAGAGACGCGATGGATCTGGCCAAGAAGTCCGCGACCAATCCCGGATCGGGATCGCCAGCGTCAACTGGCTGGTGGAACAAGGCTACTGGTAAAGGCGGAATGACCATCAAGAGCTCAGATGGCCAGGATGTGACTGCTCTGATCTCCGATCTCGTCACGAACGCAGTGGGATTGTATGGCAAGGACAACCTTGCCAGGAAGGATTTCGCGCTGTACTCGAGTGGGGCACAGGTCATCCCTTCGCTGACATCGGAAACCTACCAGTTGCGACCTCAATCATTGCGCGGAAAGATCGTCGGTACTATCACGGGAAATGGCTACCTTCTCGGTCTTCCGCCAGTCACAGCGCTCCATTACGATATCCATGACGGCCATTGCTGGCCAATCCACGGGAGCTCTGGCAAGATTGGTGTCAAACTTGCAGCCCCCGTCCACATCCAAGACTTCACAATTGATCACGTCGCGGCGGAGAACTCGATCAATCAGCGGACCAGTGCTCCCCGTGATATGGAAGTCTGGGCACTGGTCGAAGGTGCAGATAATCTCGCCAAGCTCAAGGAGTGGCGTGATGAGCGGGTCGCCCGTCGCGAAATGGGAGAGAACCTGGAGGAGGAACCTGTTCGGCCGAAAGACATGCCCAGATACCCCGAATATATCCGAATCGCGACGTTCCGATACGATGTCCATGCCGCCAGCAACATCCAGACCTTCTCGATGGACGAGGAGATCCGGGGACTGGAGATGGACTTTGGCATTGTTGTCTTGCGGGTCATGAACAACTGGGGTCACGAGCATTTCACTTGTTTGTACCGTTTCCGCGTGCACGGCCAAATGCGGGGCGATTCTCCAGCTGTATATCCAGAAGACGATCTGGCCTAACCTTATTTTTTTCGCGTATTGGTGCCATCTGTGCATGTATTTTCTACTGACCGCATCGCATCCAGTCTGTTGCATACACTCGCTCGCTCTCACATTGTGCTTCTAGTAGTAGTAGTCATTAGTCTTATCACTATTCTTTACTTACAATTCAATGCTTTGGAATCTCTCAGTCAATCATAAATCTTCATGTCACTGTCCATGTGTCCGTTTCCCCAGAAACCGTGCACAGAAGGGATGCACCGGGCCAAAAGATGCATTGTACTCAGCGGGATTTCAGAGCCACCCTGCCATACCCCGATGTCTTGGAGATCCCAAGACGACATCGGTTGTTCCTGCATCTCATTGAACAGAGTCTATAGGTTTGCTCAGGCAACTGGGGAGGGTTTATTAGGGAGACTGCTTACTTCTACCGCAGCTCGGTGCGGATGAGAACCTCCGACATAGAGCGACAAACTCTTCAAGCCAGGCAGACTTTTCTCAAGGAGCCGGAAGAGCTCCACGTCCCAAATACGCACATTCAATCGAAGTGTGCGCAGACCATAGAGAGGGCCAACGAGAGACTGCACCTCCCCGAGAGTCAAATACCGGTCCTTCACAGCCAGCGACCTAAGTGTGCCGGCCGAGCGCCCGACATACATCATCAAAGCAGTGAAGCCGGCCGCGTGCGTCGTGGGATAGATAAAGAGCGAGTCCAGATCGCTGAGCACGGTTGGCTGTGCAGAGTGCGATGCGAACCACTCCGCAAGGGCATTCTCTATGCCTGGGTCCATCGCACTTCCAGCCGGGTTCAGCCGCAGCTCGATCATCTCCAACGTCCTCGCGTTGTCTTCAAGAAGGCGCGTCAACCCCGTCGGGTCAGGGAACGCCTTGTTGAACGGTGCCCGCAAATGAAATCTGCGGAGTTTCGGGAAAGCGCCCAGGTGGAGGAACAGTGTCGATAGATCGAGGGTCGACCAGGACCAGATCCGGAGCGATTCAAGCTGAGTCGCCAGGCCGTTTATGAAGGGCGCAACGGAGTTGACAAGGATATCGGTCACTGCCGCGCTAGCCATCGTGTCCAGCTCGCGCGTAAACTGCAAGCCGAGGTGTTTGCATGAAAATAGCCTTGGTTCTGAGGACGTGAACTGGTAGAACGTCTGGTCATGTGTAAGTCAGTACGGTGTACTACCACATATGTTTTGAGTGGCTCAACTTACCTCGGGCCGCCCCGCGATCGACATGCTCACCAGTCGCTCCCCGAACGCGGTCCACGCAGTCCGGAAGAATGGCTGCAGGTCCATCTCCGGCGGGATATCCCACGTTTCAATCTCGAAGTGCGTCAGATTCCCCAGCCGAGGGAGGACCAGCATCAAGCTGTCGATGATGTCCTCGACAGTCAACCACTCTGGTGCTACACGCGTCATAAACGAGAGAAATCTCCGTATTGTCGCTCGTGCATTGTGAGGTGGACCAGTGGGCGCGAGCGGGAGTGTGGGCGGCCGGACAACCAGTCTGCGCACGCGCCGGGCGACAACAGGATCTCTGTCAGAGGTCAACTCGAACGCAACCTTCGGATTCGCGGCGACAAGACGCACTTCAGACGCTCGATAAGCCTGAAAGTGCGATGGTCTATCGACTCAATCCGAATGCTCCCATACCTGGCATCCAGATAGTAGTTGTAGAATTGGAAGTTGACGCCCGGTATGAGCTCGGGGACGGGTATGAACGACAGAATATGCAGAATCACTTCCGATGGTAGTTCTGGCATTTACGCCGCTGGTGGAAGAGCAAGGTGGAAGTCTAGCATAGCTGGCTGACTCGGATATGCAGTGCACGGAATCTGTCATGGTTTCTGTCAAGTGCAACACCCGAAGATACTGATTTACATGGTGACTGAAACGTATGTAGATATGTACGTATGTCCTGTACTGTACATATGCAGAAACGGCCCAGGGACAATCAGTTAGTTCCAGCTTAATTCCAATATACGGTCAATATTGCAGGTCTCGGACTGTGAAGATCTACCCTGCAGCCCGATTAGCTAAAGCACGCGCCCGGGCGCGTGCCATTGTTTCCTTAAGTTCTGGGCTATCCCAGGAACTTTCCGTTTCTCGTGTCGAGAGAGATCGAGACAGGTCGGACTCCGCAGACATGCTCCGCCCGAAATCAGGTGTCTGCGGCCAACCTCGGGAGCCGGCGGAAGATGGGAGGGATGCGGATACGAAATCGAATCGTTGGGTACGGGGCGAAGCAGAGTTCGGTCGGGACGAGTGTGACGAAGGGACAAGGGTGAGGTTTCGAGGAGGTTGGCGTTTGCGCCGCGGCGAAGAGGTCCGATTCGGGAGCCCGCCGAATTCAGAATGGAAACCGCCCTCTTCTTCCTCCCAGACACCAGTTCCATCATCAATTTCATCTTCTTGAGCCTCACTTTGCACAACAATCTCACGCCCTAGAGCTTTCTGACCTTCTTGAATGAGTGCAGCCAACTGACCACCGAGCCAGTCCATCTGAAAGCAGCTAAGCAGCTATGTGACCAGATACAGAAAAGCATACCTGCTCCTCGACCACAGAAGGTTCCTCCTCCATTTCCACGTCGCGTTGCGGTTGAGAAGGATCAACGCTGGGCGGGGGTGAAATTGTGCTGTGTGCGTGGGCACGTGACCTCGCACGAGCAGCTCGTCTGGACGCGTGACCGTGATGAACTTTCCGACGGCGAGGAGTGGCCATGGGGGTTGGAGGTGTGACGTGGATAGCGTGAGAGCCTTGAGCAGGCGTCCATCCGCCTTGTTGATATGGAGGAGGGGGAGGAGGTTGCTCCGATTCTCGCGAGTCGTCCTTTTGCTCTGCGTCTTTGCCACGATCTCTCCACCTGGGGATGCCTTGAGATCAAACGCACCAATTCTTGACTCAAGAAAAATCACGCACAATCGATACACAGTCAGTCCGACTGCGGTGCCTATCAGCGCAGCGCTGACAGCAGTAGAGACGATGGAGCCAGCAAGGCCTCGTCGGCGTTTCGCGGGGGGAGGAAGATCTACATTGAATAATGAAAGTAAGTTTAGTTGCATGAGAAAAGGAAAGGAGAAAAGGTGGCCAGCAGTAACGACCGCAGCCGACGAAGATGAGTTATACAGACTGTATGGGGACGAAAACACGTGCCCGCGATGCCTGTTCAACATACTTTGAACAGACGCGAAAAGAGAATGCAAGATTAGACAGCAGCGATGGCAGTCGACACCGGGAGGGGCGAAGGCGCACCAGAAAGGCCGCACGCCGAAACCATCCCCGGTCCGAACGCAATACGCAAAATGGAAAACATGTAAACTCACCAGGAACAGACATTGCCATCTCGGTAATTTCAGAATCGTCGCCCCTACGCGAAGAGATCGCCATCTCTCGATATTTTGCAGGCGTATCGAGATATCCGCTGCCGGACGCGAGCGTGGTGGTAGACTGGCTCGGTTCTGCGAGGGACGGATCCCAGCCGCGCTTCCTTGATATGGGAGCAGATGCGGAGGGAGAGCGGCTAGATGAGGTCCTATCGGGAATAGTCTGTGGTCGCGTGTGGCGGTCTCGACGCCGCGCGGGGGAAGTAGGGGGACGGAAAGGACCAGAGCTGGACGAAGCTACTGGCACCGGCTGTGGTTCTTGGGTCGCAAAGGGATTGAGACCCGGAACAGCGAATTTGAACGTAAACGGGAAGGGCATGGGCCGAATCGAATGTCAAGCAACTACGTGAAGCTTGAATCGAGGGCTGAGTTCGTAAAAGTCGTAAAAGATGTCGACTCGAGTCAATTAGTCTTCTCGAGACCACTCCAAAAGAATGAAGGTGGCGGTTGACGATGATGGACGCTCGATACAAGAATCCAGGAACGAGATGATGGGTCGTACAGGTCGAAGCCGAAGGTCAATGGCCCGGTGAGTACAACAACATATGACAACACTATCTGATCTAATCATGTCTACTTTTTGCCCTTTTTCTTTTTCTTCTGCTTGGCTTTAGAGGTAAAGAACCCATCATCTTCATCCTCCTTCGGGGCCTCAGCTGGGGCTTCAGGAGGTGCTTCGACTGCAGGAGCCTCGACCACAGGAGTCTCTGGAACAGTCTCCGCAGGAGCCTCGGGGATCGAAGTTTCTTGAGTAGGATCAGCAGTGGGAGTTTCGACAGCGGAAGCTTCGATGGCGGGAGCTGCGCTCTCGAGCTCTGCTGCAGGATTGGTGTCAGCTTCGGGCAAAGAAGCGGATGGCCCTTTGTCGGGAGAGACAGCTTGAGACGCTGTTGCGATTGCAGTCTCCGATGTGTTTGCGATCGGCTCCGGAGATTTGAACGCTTCATCAACAACTGCAGAATTCAGTGATTCTTCAGTGACTGCTGGCTGTACGGCCTCCGCCGGCGCAGACTCAGCGAACGCGTCAGCAACCTCAGCCGGGGCTTCGGCCTCGCCTGGAGGCTCTGGAGTGTTCCCAGTTGCGAAAACTGGAGTATTGTCGTCATTCGGCAGCTGTATGGCTGTGTGAACGGGAGACGCTGCTGGTGTGGGAACCTTCGAAGGAGCTTTGGACACTGCCGGTGTCGCTTTCTTCGAAGGGGCTTTGGAAGCAGCCTTCGACGCAGCCTTTGACGCAGCCTTCGACGCAGCTTTGGAGGCTTTAGAACCTTTCTTGCTGACCGGCTCTGGCTCTGGCTCTGGCTCCGGCTCCGGCTCGGGTTCTGGCTCCGGCTCGGGTCGCGCCTCCGGCTCTGGTTCTGGTTCTGCCGAAGGTGCCGGCTCTTGTGCAGTAGGCATCATGTGAGGGACGTCTGCTGGTGGTCCTATATCGAATGCATCCAGGAGGAGGTCGTTTCCGGTTGTCGTAGGGCCAAATAGCGTGGATGCATCAGCAGGCCCTGTCTGAGACAGGAATGTGTTTGTCTCGCCCCAGGGATTGCTGTCGTCATGGAATGCCGCTGAAGGCACCGACGATGCCGGATGCGTTGGCTGTGGCGGAACAATGGGTTCCTTGGGCGTGAGCGGTTGTCGAGCCAAGTCGATGGCCGGATCAACAGCAAGAGGCGTCGGAGGGGCCATGATCTCACTGACAGGAGTGGCAACGCTTCGACTGATGGACCTGCTGAGTGAAGGGGAGACTGAATGGCCTTTGCCCCAGACGGAGTCGAGAGCATCCGCCAGCTGTGTCGACCCGCGACTCGGCACAGTACTGATTGCGGGCGGAGTGGCTACATCTCGTTCCGTGGTGAGCTGTCGTTCCTTGCCCTTCTTCGAAGTCTTGCGTCCTTGCGAAGAGATGGCCCGGCTCATCGGCACACTGCTGGCTGCGATACTAGTTGCTGGCACACTGCTGGATAACGCGGTCGCATCAGGCAGTCGCGCCACTTGAGGAGTTGGCTCTGCTGGTACCGGGGCTCGGTCCTGCGCGGCGATTGATGGTGGACGAGAGAGAGCTGGCGGCGATCTTCGTCTCCTGCTTGGAGTAGTTCCGTCGGCATCGTCCTCAGAGAACATATCCGGCTCGTCTTCCTCCATTCGTCGTCCTCGTTCGTTATACACGATCGAGGCAGGCCCGCTGCAAGGCAATCAGACAGTGCGACGATACTAATGTGATGTCCTTCACTATTTCACTTCTCCGTTGTCCAGCCATTTGATTCTTGCGCCAAACTCGGTCAGACCAAAATGAATCTCAACAGAAAAGATAATCTTCCAGAAAGTCTTGCCGTTTCTACCAGTCTGAGGAACGGCACTCCCCTTCAGAGGTGACAGGTCGGCTCTGACGATGCATAGCGTTGAAAATTCCTCTGCTCCGCCTGAACATAGATGTATCGCACGAAAGAAGGCACCCACCGGTATTCCGCAAGATCCAAGCGGGTATTTCGCCCTTGCCACGAAAACACCAGACCAAGACCTCGAACACCGACAAAACGTTCAAGCTCGTCAGTTCGGTCGAGTACTTGCGAGAAAACGCTGTAGACTCCTTCACTCTAATTCCACTCTTGAGAATGCAATCGAAAGCATCGGGTAGTAAACGCGGGCCGGATGGTAGTTCGCAGAGCGAAGCTTCACGCGCGACGTGTTCAGGGTTGTGCGGATCAAATGTTCGCAGATATTCGACACCATAAAACGCCTTGGAGACACGGACGCTGACGTAATGGTCCACAAAGAATCCAATGGCCCCATCGCATACTGGTGCGGTCAGATCAGACAAGACTGAGATGCAGAATTGGACCGTACCCGCTTTGGAAGTTTGAGAATCCGGTCTGTTCACTGTCACATTGTACGGCGTCAGACGTTCTTGAAGCTGCGTAAAAAGCCAGAAGTTGGCGGCAAAGCCGCCAACAAGCCAGACAGACTGCTGAGTGTGAAATGCTGTGGTTCAACACGAGGATGAGACTCACCTTCACAACACCAGCCGAAGCATCGATTTGAGCTTTGATGGCTTTGAACGCATCTTGAGCGTGAGTTAGCTTCGGCGACAACTAATTGAGAAGAAAATAGCTGACCTTCAATAGGCGGCTCAAAGAGTTCTTGCACTTCAGCGCTGATGGAGTGTGAGATCGACAGGATGGAGCAGTAGTTGCCATCCATACCCCGTCAGTTTCAATTGCCCACCACGAATTCCCACAGCCAAATCTTTGTCGAGAGGACTTCCGAATGCAATGAATTGTAGGGTCTTGTCGTCTCGGAAGAGTCGTTTCGTCGTTTCATCGAAGCGCTTGGTTATGTGCTCGACGGACTCGGGAGAGCCGTACTTCGACGATGCCAGTTTCTTCCCCAGAAATTCACGGGCACGTCGACTGACAAACACAGAACCGGCGAAGACACCTGTGATCAGATAAGCAAAAGCTGTGCAACAAGATGAGGTCACGCACAGTCTGGGGGTGCAATTTCCTCGATTAACAATGGGTTCTGTCCGGTGATGCTATACGTCGAGATATCCCATGTTCCACCACCCGCATCTGCAATCAAAAACCCAGGTTTAGATGGATCCTGCGAGGTTGCAGAAATGAGAATAGAGGCAAGATTAGCTAATCGTTGTACTCACCGATAAGACGTCAGCTGCCAGTCCGTTCAAAACGCAAGCATGCAGACTGGCTTCTCCTTCCGTAACGAAGAAAATTCTTGCCTTCCCGGCACTCGTATTGGGTACGAGGCCACCATGAATAGCACTTCTTCTCAACTTCGACTGCTGCGCGCCTTCCCAGCCGTTGGGATGCGATAGAACGAATTTGATGTCGTTTTCCACCGCCGCCCAGAGACTTGCTCCGGCCGCATGAGTGTCGACTATGAAGTTGCGGGTGCAAAGGAAGAGATAGGATAGAAAGTCGCCAAAAACGTGCACCGGCGTCTTCCCGGGGGGAAGTCGCCCAAGTCGCATTCCGTTCATATTGAGCTGCATCGTTCGCGGTCGTAAACGAAGTTTGAATCTTCGAGCATCAGTTCATTATTAGAAGGATAGACAAGGTGGCAAGTGCGCGCACAGTTCACATTTGATCCAACCCTCATCCTCCGCCTGCGATACAATTGACGACGTCTCTGCCTCCGCACCAGCGGCCATTATGTGCCCCTTTGCATTGTACCACAGAATCGATGGAATCTTCTGGTTTCCTGCTACGTGTTCTTGACCCGGAAAGCTGCGTAATGGCAAAAAGCGACCGTCAGCGTGCAGCCCAAGTATCAACGGAGGCTCACAGACCGAGTGACCCCATGTATTTTAGGTACTTCGCCAGGTACTAGGATCGCGTACGACACCTGTTGTCGCGGTCAGAAACACCGTCCCGATCCCATTCGTTTGCGTTGTTGGGCTTACTCCGCTGAAAGTGGTACCGACATCGATAGCGACGACCTAGAGCATTCAAACAGCCATCAATAAAACGCGCTACTGACACTTTGGCAAACACGGACTAGAGATCGGACTGGCCCTCCGTACGGTTTCCGTGCGTCAGTGCTCGACTTCATGGCGAGATTGTGCGTGGGACACAAAATGCAAAGAAGGAGAGAGGTATGTTGCTCAAAAAGCGGTTCGACGGTCGCTTTCGAGTCTAACGAGAAACTTCAAGCACGAGGTAGATGGTGGAAGGTGCGCAACGCGCATTCAACAAACACTGTATCCGTTCCGCCAGGCGGTTCTGCTTGACAGGCGGGCACGAGGCACTTCAAAACGCGCTAAGCGCATGGCAGCGTGACCGCTTGTGGTTGATCTGACACTGTGGTGGCTCAATATCTCTCGCGCTTGTCCCTCTAGTTCCCCATCCAGTGAAGGATCCGGTGATTGTCGTGATAAGACTCGGATCCTCCCCACCGGGTATTTGGCACTGTAATGCTATGTCCCTTGGCCTGCCCATCAGCTTCCGCAACTTGAAAGGTCTCTACGATTACACCGTCGGGTTATTACATCCCGCCGCACAACTTACCACCCAACCACCACCACCACCACCCCGAGCCGAGACCCCTCCGTCGGCTTTACTCGAAAATCACCCATCATCTCCGGGAGAAGGGGACTCGTCCCGACGTGACTCCAGTGTCGCCGGCATTGCGCACATGCGTCGGGGCTCTGATAATGTTACCAATCAGCTGACGCGCGCACAAGCCGAGGTCGCACGGCTGGAAGAACGATGCAGGAATCTCGAGAGGACTTTGAAGAGCACGAGGGACTTATTGGACACGAGGGACTCAGAGTTGGACCGTATGAAGCGTGCAGGAAATGGTGTGCCCTCTCCGCCGAGAGCTGGGACCTCAGAAGGGCGCAGTCACCTTCGGCGGCATTCGAGAAATGAAGGCTCGGGCACTGTGTCTCGCGCCAGCACCATTGCAGCATCGAACGCCGCAATGCTGGCAGAGGAGCACCGAGCACAGGCGCGCAGCAATGAGACGTTCATGACGAGATCGGATACTTGGTCTGGCGCACAGGTGATCCAAGCAATACACGACCTGAACTCGGAGATTATCCAGTTCGCTGCCTCGGCCACGGACTTGTGCACGTTTGACATAAATTATCCGCATTCGCCCCAAGCGAACCAAGACACGATATCCAGACTGGGACCCACGTTTGCGTCGCTGATTTCCGTCAGAGAACGTAACGCGCAAGATCCAACGCTCGTTGGACTGGCGTTGCAGGCAGCGACGACCACGTGCATTGCCCGTGCCATGGGCAACTTCGCACTCGGCCTGCCTTCGAAGGCAGAGGTGGCTCTGGCGCAAGTTTACTCGCACATTTTTGTGACAGGTATGCGTTAGAATCGGACGCTGAATGCCGGCTGAACCAATCGCAGAGGCTCAGCCAACGTCCGCGCGGTGGCGGGCCCTGGCACATCGACATGTTCACACACTCTACCCGGGCTTGTCGGAATACGCAATAGAGGATCTCAAGGAGACCATCGTGCGCTGGACATCGGACATCCTCGTAGCTGGTGGTGCAACTCACGAATCGGCATCCCGCAGCTGGGTCCGTGACACGTTCGGAGAACAGGTCGGTCGAATGGCCAAGTCCGTCGCCGAAATCACCAAGATATGCAAGGAGCAAATCATGTCTACCAACTTCGATGTAATCTTGATTGACCCAGGCCAGTTCTTCGACGACAGAGTCATGCACGACGCATTTGCAGATTGTGGGGATCTCGCAGGTAACACGGTCTTGGCAACGACGGAGTTGGGACTTCGACGGATGACTCGCAAGTCTGTGCCAGGGAGAGAAGAGGAGAGAGCAGTCGAGCAGCAGTTGTTATTGAAACCAAAAGTGATCCTGGATTCTGTAGCCTCCACCTTTTCTTGATGCAGTAGCCTATTACACTGGCATAAAGGGGCCTCCGATTCGTGGGAACCACAATTTCGCCTCTGCATCATGATCCATTGATCGGGTATCCGTCATATTTTCTCCCAACCAAGATGGCAAGTCAAACTGCCCGCTCGGCTTTGCCCTCTGTTACTTCTGGAGACTTTCAATCGCCACTGCAATGTTCTCTACACGACTCTGACGCGACGCTGGATGTGGATAATGCCGCCCCTGAACCGAATGGACAGAAGAAGAAAAAGAAGAAGAAACCCAAGAAATCGGCCTCTGCGAAGGAGAAAGTCGCATCGAGCAATGAAGTAGGGCCCAAGACAGAAGGCAGCTCGAATGATGACGATGGCTCGCGTCCCTCCGTGCTCTGTATCAGTAGAAACAAACACTGGCGCTACATCAGCTCTTATCATGTGTGTGTTACAGTTCTTGCTCAAATTTCTTCCAATCGGTCTCCCTTCTCGTTATGACCCTCCCCTTTCTTTTCTGAAATCGGGGACATCTCCTTGGATCATATAACGTCGAATCCAGAACCCGATACTAATACTCTATCTCTCAGGGACCATGGCTTCAACTTCCTGTAGAACTGCTCGAGTCGTTGCTCACCTTGAACATTGACCCGAACACACTTGATGCATCGGATTATCGTTCTGCTCAGCTCCCTGAATCAACCTCACCCACAAACTCGAGCTTTCCGCACAAGAGAAATGGATACCATCATCTCCTCTCGGAACTCGCCTCATCAGAATCTCCAAGCACACCGTCGCTATCCTCATCGGCTTTAACTCTATCTTCTCAAGCAAACTTACCCTCGCTTTTCCCCACACCCGAAGCCGGCAAGCCCACTCCGCCTCCAATTGATCCAGGCGTATTCCGAAATGTCGCGTCAATTCGTCGCCTCATTGACGAGGCCGCAGAACTAAGCGTCCGTGCATCTTCAGGCCTCTCAGCAGCAGAATTGAACATGATGCGATCATCCCCAAACAATATGAATGGGTTTGGCGGCTTCAACAATCCTTGGGCAGGAATGAATTCTGGAGGAGGACGGAGCGTTGCTATGAGTGCCATGCGAATACACCGTTTACGAGCGCTGGCTGTCCAGAAGCTGGCAGCGGCGTATTCAGCCGACGAAATCGCGAGCAGCGTGATGGTCATGCAAGGGGGAAGCGTTTTCGATGATCTGGCTGAACGAGTTCTGAAAACGGATCCCAATGATTGTGATGCTCGCTATGTGCATTTCTTTCACGAGAAGATACCGTCAAGGTAAGTCGAAATTTGGTTGATGGTGCTGCTAAGCAACTAATTCGTGGAAGTAGGCAGCTGGCTGAGTCCACCACGACCCAGGTCCTGGATGAACTCATCAGAATGCAGCCGCACAGATTAGAGTACTACAGAACACGAGGCATCGTCCATTGCTTCCGCGACGAGTTCAGCATGGCAACCAAAGACTTCACCCACGCGCTCAAGGAAGCCAAGGCAATTAGAAAAACGAAGCTTCATCATCAGCACAACTACTCTAGTCCCGTTCAGGGAGGGAGCGGCAAGCACGGAAAAAACGGCAAGCGACGCAAAGCAGGTGGAAGGTCCAAACGAGGAGGACCTCCCGAAGAGGATCCTCGTGACGACAGGCCCGACGCTGACCCCGACGCTGATTCTCAGAGCCGGACTGCACATCCGTCCGTTCTCCCGGATGCCCCCACACCTCTGGAACCGCAACTACTCTTCCTTCGTGGCGCAGCCTACCTGCAGCATGCTGTACATTTGATCGAAGGAACCGCCCTGGAATTGGAAGGGATTCGAAAATTTGCCAGCGGAGTGGGAATGTACAGCGGCGAGCTCCGCCTAAGCTGCTTGGACGGGAGTAACTTTGGGGGTATCGAAGTCGGCAACCCGGACGGCCCGCTTGGTCACAGCAGCGAGCCCAAAGCCACAGCGTACCGTGCTGCGTTTGGTGTGGCTGGCAATGGAGAGCCCAACGGGAGGAACGGGGACCCGGAGAAATTGCGCGATCAAATCCTGGGTCTTGTTCGCAAAAGCATGCGTGATCACGAGCGTTTCCTTGCTCATTTCGACTCGATCGATGCGGGATTTGGGGCTGGGAGCGGAGAGGACGGAGAGACGTGGAACCTGGCACAAAAAGTCGAATATGCATTCTTGCTCCTGGAGAGCATCCGACCAGGAAGCCAGACACCAGCTCCACCACCGCCGGCTTCATTTGCCGACGGAAGCAGTCCTTTGAGCAAGTACAGCTTCGACATGATGGCGCTCGCCGGCCCGAACACACCAGGATTGCCCCCACCCACCACTTTCACGACATATCATCCCCTGCTGGTTGAAGCTCATTTTAGCATTCTTCTGTGCCTGCTTCTGCTTGGTGACTTTACGGCCCTGCTGCCCGCGTTTGAGCATACGTCTCGAGTCGTTGATGGGCTGGAGGGTTATCCTGTCTTTCTTCCTCCTCGTTCGATGGCCCAGGCAGAGTTCGTCGAAGTCCTCGAGCGCCTCGCTGGTGGCTGGCGTACTGGAGTTGAGAACTACTCAGTCTATCATGCCTCTCGAGGTAAGGCCAGAGCTAAAGATGATGGCAACGAACAACGCTCGGTCGTCAGTCTCGGTCCTCCGCATCCGGATTCAGCGTCCTCGTCCTCGTCCTCATCTCCTCCAGAGACACGTTCCACCACTCCGACTGAAGCGGGATCTCACTCACACTCCGCGGCTTTGAACAGTGCCCGAATCTTATTATCCCCCGTAGTGGCGAGACAACGTGCTCGAGCTGAAGCAGCGATGAGCGCGAGAAAGAGTGGTGCGTCTGCTTCTAAGAAGCCGATTGGGATCAACATTCCCCTTCACGGACCTCGCGTGGATGTGATCTTGACATGGATGGCTGCTGTCCAGCTTCCACCATTGGATGCCGCTGCCGCTGCCAAAAACAGCGATACCAATTAAATTGGTGCATCATGCCATCCCTAGCTGTATCCAGCACTCTATTTATCTTATATCTACATCGGCTGGACATGTATACAATGATTTTTTTTTTTTGCCGTAGCAGTGCTCATGTTGGCACATGCCACTGGCATAGGACACCGTCACATGACCGATCATCGTCATCCCAGATTCCCTTCTTTCCCCTCGCGTCCCTCTCAAGTCGGTGATGGCAACCAGCGCGCTGAGGGCCCAAGTTGCAAACAAGTGGCAAGAAGCGTTCAATCGACTGAATCGCTCGGAGGCTGGGATCTCCGGCCTTCTTTCATACACCCAGGTGCTGTAGGACCCGTCATATAATATAGCGGCCCTCAATTTATGTTATCAGGCCTGGAAGACTGCCACCGACTATCTATATCCTCGAGACATAGACGATCCAAATGACGCGAGAGATATCAGTACGCTCTGGCATCCCTGCAATCTGGACACAATGTTGATCCAGGAGTCGCAGGTCCTGCAGACATTAAGAACGCATTCGACGTGATAAACCAGAGTCGAAGGTTACCCATAATGTTGGAAACATTTCTTGGTGTGTCTTCTGAGTTGTTGAGGGTAAACGATCTCAAATACAGCAACGAAGAGCATATCTGCCAACGATTCTATCTAGTTTCCAGGGAGGTGGACAATTTTTTGTCGGAGTACGAGGTGCGCTGCTGCAAATTTCGAGTCCATTGTCCTCCCTCCTCACAATGCATAGGACACCGAAGACACGGATACAATACTTCGATTGGTCTTCCGTCTAGTGGACTGGTATCGCGCATGGATTCCGATCGACGAGTGCGTCGAGCAGCTCTTATTTCCCGAACCCCTCATTTACTTTCTTTCCAGGCTTGGTCCTACAATACATAGCGCGTTTGTGCTTACTTTTCAAACTCAACTGTTCGCGGTCCTTCCGCCAATCTTCGTGAGCGGCTTCAAAGCCCTTTGCGCATCAAGTCTCGTGCCTGTCCCCAAGTCAGCCCCCAAGATGTGGGAGGCATTCGAGGTGCTGGGTTTGACGGATCGGTACGAAGGCATCATCGCGAGTGTCGGATACGAGCGGATAGAGCAATATGTGCACGAAACCTGCACAGGTAAGTGGGATACACCTTGTCTAGAGCCGCTGCGCGCGTGGATGAGGGCCCACATCGTGCCTTGGATGTTGCCGATGTATGCGAAGGGGGCAGTCACATGTGTGTCGCTTCCATATCTTGTGATTGGGACCGGCTATAACTTGCATTCGCAGCGGAAGACGCGAGAGGGATGTTACAAAATGTTGGGTCGCGTTTCGATTTCCATATGAATAAAACACTTTGCGATCTACGGTTGGTTTCGGTGCTCTCATTGTCAAACCGCTTACTACATGGCACTGCAGAACCACTGAGATATTCGACATCATCATCGACTTTCCGGACTCGATGGGTGCGCTGCAAGACTTGAAGGTGAAACATACGCGAATTCATAAATATTTGCTTTTTCGTTAATCAATACGTAGGAGTGTCTCCAGCGCGTGGATCAGCGTGCAGCCCTCGTACAAGAACTAAGACGATCGTGAGTGACATAGGCCGGGGAGCGAAGGTTTCTGATACCTGTCAGAAATCGAAAACGGCTCCTCCACCCAGGTGCAGACACCAAGCTCATCCTCTCTCAATATGTCGCAACGATCAAATGTTTGCGGATAATAGACCCACCCGGGGTACTACTGTTCAAAGTCGCAGATCCAATCCGACGCTATCTCAGAGAACGACCAGACACGATTCGTAGCATTGTGGCCAATCTCGTCGGCGACGATGACAGCGGAGATTCGTTGGTGGATGAGAACGATCCTATTGTGCCATTGCAGACGCAAATGGAGGACTTCAACGATGCAAACTGGGAACCCGAACCCATTGATGCGGGACCTGGTGTGTCATCATCCTTTGGGCTGTCTGAAAAAGTCTCATGCTCTAGCAGACTTCAGAACAAACAAGCCGAATGATGTGCTCAGTACTCTTGTCAGCATCTACGACTCGAAAGATCTGTTCGTCAAGGAACTTCAGGTCCTGCTCGCGCAACGCTTGCTAGCAATCAGAGAAGACTTCGACAAGGTTGAAAAGGAGCGCCGCAATGTCGAGATTCTCAAGATCCGTTTCGGGGAGGCCGCCCTCCAAGTTTGCGAGGTCATGCTGAGGGATATGACCGATTCAAAGCGAATAGACGGGCATGTTCAAACTAAAAATGCGGTGCGATTTATTCAAAAGAGAAAACCCGACTTTCCGTTTGCCCTGACGTCGAACATTGTGTAGTCCATTGTTCACCCGACAATCATTTCTCGGCACTTCTGGCCGTCTTTGGACTCGGCGGAAATCGTGATGCCAGGGCAATTCCAAGCGTGAGCAATATCAGCAGTGTTGATACCTCCGAGCTCACACCTCTCCAGCTTACAGAAGCAGTATTCCAAAGATTTCTCGCTGTTCAAGCCAGACAAGAAACTGCAATGGTTTCCGCACCTAGGCACGGTTGATTTGGTCCTAGAATTGCAGGATCGCACTGTCACCAAGAGTGTTCCACCCCTTGAAGCTGCTTTCATTGAACTGTTTTCTCAGAAGAATGTCTGGACCATGGACGAGCTGATCCACGGTGTAGGCAATGTTGATAGAACAGCTGCACTGAAGGCGTTGATCACTTGGATTGATGAAGGAGTTCTGAAAGAAGATGAGGAAAACACTTTTAGATTGCTGGAGATCCAGGAGGAAGCAGGTCCAGCCCGTTCAGGTCTAGTGTTACACTTATTCTTTGACAATTATCTATTTTGACTGTTTATTCCAGCTTTGGTGGTAGAGGAAGCACCAGCTATGACTCCAGCCCAACAACAGCAAGCAGAAAAAATGCGTGTTCATTGGAAGGTACACCAATCTTTTAGTGCAGTGAACACTCTCTGATATTAGATTAGTTCATTGAAGGGATGCTTACCAATCTGGGTTCTCTTCCTTTGGATCGGATACAGCAAATGCTCAAATTTGTGCCTGGATATGACCAAAATTCTGAGCAGCTTGCAGGCTTCATGGAAGCTGCCCGTTGTGAGGGGCTTGTTGTTGGGCGAGATGGAATGTGGTCACTAAACAAATGAATTTGCAAGGTTTAGATGTTAATGTACTACAATTCTTATTTCATTGATTCTTGGGAAACTAAACATTGTATTGTGGTGTTTGAACCACTGTCTGAATTTTATCAAGTCTGTAAGGGCAACCTCGAGGCCCAATCTCAGAGTCCTGACAAGGGAGAGTCCAAGGTGTTGTCAGGGGAACCCCCGCTTCAGACCGCTCTGCCTTTGATCGGGCATGTGATCGCGCTCGCGTGACCTGTCAGCTGTCACGTGCCGCGGCCTGGACTGCCGCGCCGAGCGCTTCTCTCTGATGGGCACATGGTCAGGTGCCCATTGTTCCTATTGTCTCCGCATCCCATTGTTCTGTCATGGCCGTTGTACTTATTATTGTGACAATCAACCCAAAAACAAAGTCGAAAAGAGAAGTGAATTCCAAGACTGGAGAATACAACCAAGTAGCTACAGTATTTATACCCAAGTCCAGTCTGAGTCATATCTACAACTAATGAGTCATAGGGCTATGTACCGCATGGAGCACTGGTCATGGGTTGTAGTAGAACCTTCCGGAGCATATGTCACGCAGCCTCGAATCGATAGAGATAACCGCTAGCCCGGACCGTCTGATGCCGTGATCCGTGATAAGATAAGTCGTGCCAAGATAAGATAAGGTCGTCGATGATAAGATGAAAAAGGGCTGAATTATGACATTACCCCCTCTCTAGGGTCGATGTCCTCATCGACTAGGCCAATGGGCGTGAAGACGTTTTCGTAGGGATCGAAGAGTTGTCGCTGGGGATATGGAAGGCGCTCGTCTTTGGGTTTGTAGCAATGGATGAGATAATCCCAGTGTCCGGCTTTGAGAGTTGGCAGGAGGCGAATGCGTGTGTCTGGGTTGGATTGTTTCCTCTGCCAATCTCTCAGAACCTTCTTCGCGTGGGTAAGGTGACGTGATGGTTCCCAGGTGTTCTCACTATGCGGCCATCCCTTCCATTTGACCAAGTACTGTTTTCCTCGGCTGACGTTTCGCTCTTTCACGATTTCTTCGACTTCCCACTCTTCTGCTCCTCCGATCATCTTGGCTACAGGCCTCTTCTCTCGGCGATGGGGGGGTGGTTCGTGATAGGGTGTCAACAGTGACTCGTTGAACACCGGATGTCTTCGGTCCGTGTCCGGTAAATCCAGCTTCCATGCAGCCGCTCCAACTTTCTCCAATATCTCGTATGGCACTAGTCTCTTGTCGCTCATCTTCTTTGATGGTCGATCCGTCTCGATATTTTCCCCTTCTATGTACACCTTCATCCCAACCTTCAACTCCGGAACTTCTTTTCTTTGTTTATCGTAGTATTTTTTCATTTTTTCATTTGCTTTTTCTAGTGCTGCTTTTGCTTCGTCTTGTATTTCTTTCATTCTTTTTACAAATTCCTCCGCCGACTCGTTTCTCGACTCCATCCGTTGCTCCACTCCCTTCCATGGGTGATATCCGTGATTCGCATAGAATGGCGATATTTTGGTAGATGTGTTCATTTTATCGTTATATGCAAATTCTGCCATCCCTAGCCACTCCGACCAGTCCGTCTGATGGTAGTTGACATAGATGCGGAGATAATGCTCGATCTCCTGATTCATGCGTTCTGTCTGCCCATCCGTGATTGGGTGATATGCGGTCCCCAGATTCATTTCCACGCCCAACATCCGATTCGTCTCCCTCATGAAGCCCTTGATGTAACGCGAATCCCTGTCGGTGATGATCTTGCGAGGGATCCCGTGATAGCGGAAGACTTGGTCCCTGGTTAATCGTGCTACTCCTTCGCTGCTGATGTCAGTACTAATTGGTTCGACATGGATCATTTTGGTGAAGGTGTCACACCACACATGAATTGCGTCATACCCGTTACTGACCGGCAAGGGTCCGATCTGATCCATGGAGATGATTTCCCACGGCGCGTTTGGAACTGCATGCGGGTGCAAACTCCCTGTCCTGGCTCTTCTGGTCTTGGTCCGCTGGCACACCTCGCACGTCTGGATGTATTTCCGAATTTGGTTTCCCATCCTTGGCCACCAGTAGTTCCTTTCCACCATCTCCTGCGTTCGGTTGATCCCAGTGTGTCTGACCAAAGGGGTGTCGTGGTGTAGTCCGATGATCTTGTCCCGCAACTCCTTGTCCCTTGGTACATAGAGCTTCCCATGATACGTGATAAGCCCCTCTTCCTTCTTCCATCCGACGAGTGACTTCTCTAAGGCCGCCTTGACGCTTCCATCAATTGATTGAATGGCCTTGATTTCATCGATTAGCTGCTGATCCTGTCCCTCGAATGTGACTTCTTGTGATCGGAAGAACTCGGGCTTCAGTAGCGTGACGTCCTTGTTGTCGTTCTTGCCCTGATCGTGATCCGCTCGTCGAGACAAGAGGTCCGCCTTGCGGTTGAGTGCGCCAGGCCGGTGTCGTAAGGTGAAATCAAACTCCGCCAACTCTGTGATCCATCGTGCTTGCCGTCGATTGAGCTTCTGCGGCTTCCGGAAGTACTCAAGATTCTGATGATCAGTGAAGATCTCGAACGTCTCCGTGGCTCCCAGTAGTAGCTGTCTCCATTTGTCCAATGATAGCATGATTGCAAGCATTTCCTTGTCGTAGATCTCGTAATTTCGCTCGGTTTTGGTCAGTGCGTGCGAAATAAATGCGATTGGGCGCCAAATGCCGTCTTGGTTTTGGCTCAAAACTGATCCTGTTGCCCCTTCCGAAGCATCGGCTTCCAGACGATATTGGCCAGTGTCGTTTGGTAGTGCTAAGACCGCATCCTCCACGATTCTCTTCTTCAACCCATCAAATGCTGCACGCTCGTCCGCACCCCATGACCATCCTGCCTTCCCTGTCAGCCGTGTCAATGGCTTGGCAACCTCCGCGTATCCCCGGACGAAGCGTCGATAGAAGTTGGTGAATCCGAGGAAGGCTTGGACCTATTTGACGCTCTTTGGCTCTGGCCATTCCATCACGCCCTTGATCTTGATAGGGTCCATTCGCATCGAATTGTGTCCAATAATCACACCCAAATATTCGATTTCCGTGCGTTCGAACTCGCACTTTTCGGGTTTCAGGTATAGCTTGTGTTTTTGGAGCAATTCGAGTACTTGTTTTGTGATTCGCCGGTGTTCGCTCAAGGTTTCTGTGAAGATCAATATATCGTCAAGATAAACCACCACGTGACCCTCGTTGATCAGTTCTCGGAGTATGTCATTCATCATATTTTGGAAGGTTGCCGGGAGTTTGTGAGGCCAAAGAACATGACCAAAGGCTCGTAGAGTCCGCGGTTCGTGCGGAACGCAGCCTTCCACTCGTCACCCTCTTTGATCCGTACGTTGTTGTATCCCCACCGGATGTCAAGCTTCGTGAAGAACTTTGCACCGCATAGATTATGGACCAGTTCGGAGATCAGCGGCAGCGGGTATCGATTTCGGATTGTCATCTCATTCAGCTTCCGGTAATCTTGGACGGGGCGTAGCGAGCCATCTTTTTTCTTGACAAAGAAGAATGCTGATGCCATGGGTGATTTTGATGGCCTGATTCGTCCGCTGGCCAGGTTCTCTTGTAAGAACTCGTCGAGTTTGACCTGCTCATTTCGTGATAGCGGGTAAACCTTGCAGTCTACTGCTTTGGAGCCTGGTTTGAGTTCGATTGCGTGGTCCCATGTTCGTCGGTCCGGTAGCGAGTCGAATGATTCCTTGGCAAATACTTTGACGAACTCCCTGTATTGATCGGGGATCTTCCCCTCGGTCATCCTCTCCTTTTCCTTTTCCGCTTCTTCTGCGAATTTCTGCGCCGGCGTTTCCTTCAGCCGTAGGTCCACCTCCTTTCCAAAGTCGATCAACAAGATCGATTCTCCCTCTTCTAGATCCGGTGCACCCGCGTCCAGGTCAATCGCATCCATGTCGATCATCGCTTGGTGCTCCTCGTGACCCCTCATTTGACATTGCTCTGGGCATCGGCTGAATCTCATTGTCTGCTCCTGCCAATCCACTTCGGGGTTGTGTTCCGTCAGCCAATCCAGGCCGATGAAGATCCGAGCTTTTCCCAAACACGTCAGAAGGAACGTGCGTGTCTCTACATGAGGGCCGATTCTCATTCTTAAGTCAACGTAGTGCGTGATCCGACCGCTGATATTCTCGGTGTTATCAGCGTTACGAGCCACGATGGGTTGTGGAAGCTCTTGGATATCCAGCTTTTCTGCCCGTACGTAGTCGGTATCGATGCAGCAGGCACTGCAGCCACTATCGAGCAGCGCCTTGACTCCGCGCGTTTTCCCTGAGTCCAGGCCCGTGATCTGGACATATACGTCCATCGAATGTCTCTTTCTTTCGGCTTGGTAACTACGCAGTTCCTGCGCCAATCTGCTGGGCTGGGGGCCCTTCTGTTTCTCGGCCGCCAATTTCCTCTGGACGGCATCTGGCACCCTGGTGCGTTTGGGTGCTTCTGGAACCTCGATTTTGGCAGATTCCTTGGGCGCTTCCTCCTTTTCCAAGGATCGAGCCTCCGGAGCGATGCTCCCCTTTTCAGTCTTTGTTGACGTGGTTCCTTCTCCACGAGCCATAAATACGTAGGAGTCCAAAAATAATTTATCTGCAGCCGCGGTCTTCTGATCCCTTTTATCTTGTAAGTATTTTCTATTTAGAGCTATTTTTTCCTGGCGTTCTTTTTCCATCTCGGCAATAAGAAAATCGTGAATATTTGTACGTAGTGAGTCTGAGATCGTGTATGTAGATGAAATATTGTCCGTATCTTTAATCGAAACAAGTACAGAAAAACGTCCATAGTCCGGACGCTCCACCTCCTTGGCTAGAGGAGTGGAGCGCTTCAAAAACCCTTCTCGCGCAGCTTCTCAGCAATCTCCTTCAGGAACTCGTTGTCCTTGTCCCCGTTCTCGATTTCTTCCAGCATTGTGGCCCGATTGAAGAACGTGCGCTTCTTTTTGGGCTCCGGGCAGTTCCGCGCAATGTGCCCAGGCTGCTGACAGTTGTAGCAGATGATATTGCGGCCGCGGGTATGGGTTCGATCGATTTCCATTGGAACCGGTTCATTGGCCGCTGGTCGGGCCGGAGCAGGTGCAGGTGCCGATGGTGCAGCCTGAGGGCGGAATGGGGGGGGGGGGGGCGCGGAGTTGAGTGCGCATAGGATGCCTTACGCAGCTGATCGCGCAAAGCATTGGCCTCGATGTTGACACACCAGTTCTTGAAGGCACCGTATGCCTTGGGCAGGGGAACACCGGTGTTGTAGAGGCGGCTTGCAATTTCGCTGCTGAGTCCGCGCTCCAGGAACTCGATGAGGATATTGTCCTGTTCCCCCTTCTTGTACTCGCCCTTGCTATCGGTGGAGGTGACCACGTTGTACCCCGCGTCTGCAGCCAGCATTTCGAAGTCGGAGATGTAGTCCGCAAAGGACCGTCTGCCCTGGCGAAGGGCCATGAGTCGGGCGGCGGCAACTTGCTCTGCATTAGAATCCCCAAAGGCCCTCTGGAGCTCCTCCAAGAAGCTTGTCGCGGTGACTCCCGCCTTTAGTCCTTGGAAGCCCTCGAAATTGTGCTGCTTCCAGTTCATTGCCCATCTCGAGGCAGCGCAGCTTGTGCCGGTCTCATTACGGAGGTAGGAAAGGACGAAGAGGATTTTGGTCTTGTCCAGTGAGAACTCCGATCGGTAGGCACCAATGTAAGTGGTGCACGCGTCCACGAAGCCCAGGTACTTGGACTTGTCGCCATCGAAGTAGGGGGGATTGGCGGCGAGAGTGATGCGGTGATGTCCCGACATGGTACGAGCAGGTGTGGTAGGTGGAGGCGAGGGTGGCTGTTCGGAGGGTAACTCGCCAAGGTCAGAGATCTCGTCTTCAGGCAGCGGGAGAGCGAGGTAGGGGTTGGAGGGCCCGGGTTGGTTTTGATGCGCCAGATCGGGCGACGATGGTAGGATGGGAGGAGACGGACTCCCAGACGACGATGGGAATCGGAACGAAATGGTGGATTCGTGTGCTGTACAAGCACTCGAGGAAAGGTTCTTTTGCTAGCAAAAAGATCCCGGGCCTATCTCTTCACGTGCCCGATGATCCCGAGGTGCGTTTTCCCGAAGGTCTCCGCAGCACTCCTTGTAGCTACCGTAAGGCTTGGGTCGGGCTCAACGTTACCCGTGGCCTGGTGCTGTTTGCTCGATATGAACCCTTCACTGCGATCGCAGAGGACGACTAGACAATTCGGTAAAAGGGTAAGTGGGATGATAAGGGTGAAGAGGATATAGCGGGCGTAGCGGTGTGGTGATGCAGGGTAGGAGGTAAGAGGTACGAGGGTATGAGGGGAGTCTTCGAATTATGTGACAATCAACCCAAAAACAGAGTCAAAAAGAGAAGTGAATTCGAAGACTGGAGAATACAACCAAGTAGCTACAGTATTTATACCCAAATCCAGTCTGAGTCATATCTACAACTAATGAGTCATAAGGCTATGTACCGCATGGAGCACTGGTCATGGGTTGTAGTAGAACCTTCCGGAGCATATGTCGCGCAGCCTCGAATCGATGAAGATAATCCCTGGAACCCCTAGTCCGGACCGTCTGATGCCGTGATCCGTGATAAGATAAGATAAGATCGTTGATGATAAGATGAAAAAGTGGCCGAACTATGACAAGAACTCTGAGATCGGGTCTCGAGGTTGCCCTTACAGCAGAAACCGTGTTCCTAGGGATAACTGGTCAAGATTGCGAGGTTTGACGCCAATAGTAACAGCGGAGACGAGTCGACAAGCAACCAAGACCGCCAATCCGTCACCTCTTTTCTTGCCCCCTCCTCCCCTCCATGAGCACACTCGACCAGCATGGAGGACGACAACTCCCAGCATTGACTGTCCGCTCTGGAGACCAGCATCCAGAACATCGAAGCCGTACTCAATCAGCTCCTCAACCAACCACAACCCCCTGCCCCTGCCCCTGCACCAGCTCCGGCAGTGGGTCCAGGTGTTTCTGCTGGCTCGCAGTCAAACACTGCGCACCCCCTCATCTGTCCCAACCCCCCCTTCTCGTTTGATGGGGATCGCACCTTGGGCAAGAGCTTCTTGCACTCGGTGAAGCAGTACTGGCGACTGCTCCCCGAGGCGTTCTTCGTGAATGGGGTGGTCGCTGAGGAGAAGGTAGTCTGCTTTGCCCTCTCCTACATGTCCAAGGACTCGGCGGCCTCCTGGTCCAAGCGCATGTCCGAGCGCACCCCATTCCCGTTCCCCACTTGGGCTCTGTTCGTCACCGAGTTCAAGCTCCGATTTGTCGAGGAGAATGAGCAAGACCACACCTTGGCGCGACTGGAAACCCATCAGTATTATATGGGCTCCCGCGACATATTCAAGTACACGGACAAGTACGGCGACCTCCTTGACCTCGCTGGTTATACCGACAACTTGGTCAAGGTGACCAAATATAGGACGGGCTTGGACCTGAGGATCAACCAAGCCATCACCACCTCTGGTAACCCTCCCAGCCTCACCGACTACCCAAAATGGCGTGTCCGTGCGTTCTGGCAGTACAATGCGGAACTCGCTGCCAGAGCTTCTCGAGGCCACGCAGCGCCTCCTCCCCGAGCACCTGCTGTTGCCCCCCGTCCTCGTGCCCCGGTGCTCCCTGCTGTAGCACCGGCCCTCGCTGCCCGCCCGGCGCCCGCCCCCGTTGCCCATCCAATTCCCATGGAGGTAGACCGGGCCCGGCTCCGTGGTGACATTCGACGCACCTGCTTCCGCTGCGGCAGTCCGGGTCATCTTGCCCGTGACTGCCCCACCCCAGCTGACATACGACACGCTGATGTCCTTGACGAGGTCATCAATCAGCTGGGAAGTGAGTTGCTCTCCGAGTTGGTCACTCGGGTAGCGACTACTGCAGCTGTCGCAGAACACGCAGCCGATGTCGCGGCTGAGGTGGAGCAGGGTTTTCTCCCCAGCGACGAGTGAGTAGTACGCCCTCGTTCGCTTCACGTAATCGTTTCTCCTGTTTGTATGATGAATCCAATTCCCTCCACTCTGCAACAGTTGAAGCGATAGACGTACACCCTGCTCCCCCTCTAACCCCACGAGTCCGTAAGGAGAAGTGGGAACGCAAGCTCCCTTCCTGCTATGTCGCTGCTGCCTCTCCCGGGGCCAATTCTCTCCACCTCCCCCTCGAGATCGAGTCCACCGACAACGCAGTGAAGCTATCTCTCAAAGGCCTGGTCGATTGTGGTGCCACATCCGACTTCATTGACTTGGCCTACGTCCTCGAAAATCACCTCCCCGTTCGTCGCCTCACCCAGCCTATCCCCGTTTACAACGTGGACGGCACGCCGAACAAGGCCGGTTCCATTCGCGAAGTTGCTGATGTGGTTCTCCGTTACCAGGGCCACAGTGAACGCGTACAGGTTGCTGTCACCCGTTTAGGCAAGCAGCAGCTCATTCTAGGGTACTCCTGGCTCCGGAAGCACAACCCGGAGATCAACTGGGATACCCAGGAGGTAAAGATGAGCCGTTGCCCTTCCGGTTGCTCCACCTGCCGGGAGGAACTTCGCGAAGAACGTCAATCTGCCAGAACCGCGGCCCGGGTGCTTCGCACCATCCAACAAGGTCCGGTTCCATCCATCTGCGCTGTCGACGTTGAGGACCACGAGGACGAAGAGATGCCGGAGCTTTTGCCAGACTCAGACGATTATGACCCTGAAGATGTCGAAGAAGATGACGACTCCTTGGAAGCCGGTGACCGTATCTTTTGCACCCGCTTCAACCCTTCTGAAAACATCCGAGCCACCAGCACCGTTTCTCAGCGACTCGCCGAGGCGTTTGCTAAGAACTCTGCACCTCCTCGGGACTCCATCCCCGAGTGGGCCCGCGAGTTCGAAGATGTTTTCAGCAAGGAGTCTTTTGACAACCTGCCAGAGCGACGCCCCTGGGATCACGCCATTGAACTGGTCCCCGACGCGAAGCCGACCAACTGTAAGGTCTACCCCATCTCCCCTCTCGAACAGAAGCAGCTCGACAGCTTCATCGAGGAGGGCATGGCTACTGGCAGGATTCGGCCATCAAAATTGCCCATGGCGTCTCCCGTCTTCTTTGTGAAGAAGAAGGATGGCAGCTTACGGTTTGTCCAAGATTACCGAGCACTAAACGCGATGACAGTGAAGAACCGCTACCTGCTTCCCCTGATCAATGATCTCATCAACAAGCTCAAGGGAGCTCGGTTCTTCACCAAACTCGACGTTCGCTGGGGCTTCAACAACGTACGCATTCGTCAAGGCAACGAGTGGAAGGCAGCGTTTCGGACAAACCGCGGGCTCTTTGAGCCATTGGTGATGTATTTCGGCCTGACCAATTGCCCTGCAACGTTCCAGACGATGATGAATGACATACTCCAGGACCTCATCCTTTCTGGCGATGTTATGGTGTACCTCGACAACATTCTCATCGCACATTCCGATATCCACCGTCACCGGGAAATCGTGAATGAAGTCCTCCGACGTCTCCACGAGAACAAGCTCTACCTTCGCGCGGAGAAATGCGAGTTCAAGATGCTGTCAATCAAATACCTTGGGGTGATCATTTCCCACAACCATGTGGAGATGGACCCGGTCAAGGTCGCAGGTGTGGTGGAGTGGCCAGCTCCGGCTAACAAGAAGGAAGTGCAGCAGTTCCTCGGCTTCACTAACTTCTACTGGAGGTTCATCTGGGATTTTTTGCATGTTGCACGTCCTCTCTTTGACCTCACCAAGAAGGACGTGGCATGGACTTGGGGCGCCAACAAGGCAGCTGCGTTTCTTGCGCTGAAGAACACTGTTACCTCTACCCCAGTCCTGCAGCTCCCGGATGCTTCCAGGTCTTACTGCCTCAAAGCAGACAGTTCGGACTTTGCGACCGGTGCTGTCATCTTGCAGCAGTCCCCCATGGATGACAAGTGGCATCCAGTTGCCTTCTTCTCAAAGAGTCTTAACGAGGTCCAGCGGAACTACGAAATCCACGACAAGGAGATGCTCGCCATCGTCCGCGCCTTGGAGGAGTGGCGACACTTCCTCAAGGGCACCAAGCACCCCGTTGAGATCTGGACCAACCACAAAAATCTGGAGTACTTCCGGAAGGCCCAGAATCTCAACCGTTTTCAAGCCCGCTGGTCCCTCTATCTGTCTCGCTTCAACTTCACCCTGCACCACCAACCTGGCCGCCTCATGGGCTGCCTGGATGCTCTCTCATGCCGCCCCGACCACGGAGTTGCTTCGGACAACGCAGACGTCACACTGCTGCGCCCGGAGCTGTTCCATGTCCGGGCCTTGGAGGGTCTCACTGTCTCTGGACCCGAAGCCCCTCTCCTGCGCGACATCTGGGAGGCCCTCACCGGTACCCCCAACATGGAGGAGCCCATTGTGTTGGCAGCACATGAGCTCCTCAAGGAACGCAGAGTTCGCTCTGCTCGGGCTGCGGAGTGGCGAAAAGAAGGCGGCCTGCTCTACTTCCGTGGCAAGCTGGTGGTTCCACGCAACAACGACCTCCGTCGACGCATCCTCAAGCAGCACCACAACATCCGCGTTGCAGGGCATGCTGGCCGCTTCAAGACGTTGGAGCTTGTCTCTCGGAACTACTGGTGGCCCCAGTTGTCTCGACACGTTGGCCAGTATGTGGCCACCTGTGACCTGTGCTGCCAAACCAAGGCGCTCTGCCAACTCCCAATCAGGGAACTCCATCCCACGGAGGTCCCTTTGGAGCGCTGGGAAGCGGTGTCGGTCGACTTCATTGTGCATCTGCCAGACGCTCACGGGTATGATGCTATCATGGTCGTTGTTGACATGCTTGGGAAGCGCAGCCACTTCATAGAATGCCACACCCGGCTCTCTGGTGAAGGTGCCGCCAGGCTTTTCTACAAGAACGTCTGGCGCCACCATGGGCTGCCGTCTAAGTATGTCTCTGACCGTGGCTCCCAGTTCATAGCAGAGTTCACGCAGGAGCTGTGGAAACTGGTCGGGGTCTCATCGGCAATGTCTACGGCTTGGCATCCACAGACGGACGGCCAGACTGAGCGTGTGAACCAGGAGCTCGAACAGTTCCTCCGGATCTTCACCAGCTACAACCAGGACAACTGGGACGCGACTTCCGCGACCGCATCGCGTCCAGAGTGGCAGAAGCCAAGTCGGCACTGGTGAAGGCAAAGGATGAGTACAAGCAGTACTACGACCGCCGGAGGGTCTCAGCTCCAGACATCAAGGTCGGAGATCGAGTCTGGCTTGACGCTTCTGACATAGCAACAACGCGCCCGTCCCTCAAACTCTCTCACCGACGGCTGGGTCCCTTCAAAGTCACCCAGGTTGTTGGGCGCGGCACCTACAAGCTCGACCTCCCTTGCCGCCTCTCTGGTCTCCACCCGGTCTTCCCCGTTGTCAAGCTGCAGCTCGTCGAGGACGACCTGTTCCCAACACGCCCAGCTCGTGAGGAGCCGCCACCTGTCATGGGCCAAGGACCTGGCAAGGAGTGGGAAGTTGAAGAGGTTCTGGACGCCAAGATGCGCTATTGGAGCATTTGGTACTTTGTGCGGTGAAAGGGCTACAATTCGTTGCACGACCAGTGGGTAAAGCACTCTGACATCTTTGCAGAGGACGCTATAGCGGCATTCTACCGCAGGCACCCCAACAAACCACACATCATTGCCACCGCCGTCTTCGACTCCCTCCCATTCCAACACCCCTCTGCCACTATCCGCACGTTGCGTCGAGGCGCCGCAATCCAAGGGGGGGTGATGTCAGGGGAACCCCCGCTTCGGACCGCTCTGCCTTCGATCAGGCATGTGATCGCGCTTGCGTGACCTGTCAGCTGTCACGTGCCACGGCCCGGACTGCCACGCCGAGTGCTTCTCTCTGATGGGCACATGGTCAGGTGCCCATTGTTCCCACTGTCTCGGTTTCCTATTGTTCTGTCATGGCCATTGTACTTATTGTTCCCATTGTCCTTTGTTTGTCGCTGCGCGGTCTATTGTTCTTGTACCATATAAATAGTGGTGCCTGGCAAGGAGAATCCCCAACACGGTTTCTCTTTGGATTCTCCCTTGCCAGGTATGCCGGTCTTGTACCTAGCTACCACTATTAATCACCTTTGGATTCTCCCTTGCCAGGACTCTGACACCGGGCCTCGAGGTTGCCCTTACACTCCTGCCAATCCACTTCGGGGTTGTGTTCTGTCAACCAGTCAAGGCCAATGAAGATCTGAGCTTTTCCTAGACACGTCAGAAGGAACGGGCGTGTCTCCACATGAAGAGCAATTCTCATCCTCAAGTTGACATAATGGGTGATCTGACCATTGATGTTCTCGGTGTTGTTGGCGTTACAAGCCACGATCGGTTGTGGAAGCTCCTGGATATCCAGTTTCTCTGCTCGTGCGTAGTCGGTGTCAATGCAGCAGGTACTGCAACCACTATCAAGCAGTGCCTTGGCTCCATGTGTTTTTCCTGAGTCCAGGCCTGTAATCTGGATGTACACGTCCATCAAATGCCTCTTCCTCTCTGCCTGGTAGTTGTGCAACTCCTGCACCAGTCTGCTGGGCTGGGGGCCCTTCTGTTTCTTGGCTGCCAATTTTCTCTGGACAGTATCTGGCACCCTTGTCCGTTTGGGTGCTTCTAGAACCTCGATTTTGGCAGATTCCTTAGGCGCTTCCTCCTTTTCCAAGGATTGAGCCTCTGGAGCGATGCTCCCCTTTTCGGTCTTTGTTGACATTTGTTGACGTGGTTTCTTCTCCACGAGCCATAAATATGTAGGAGTCCAAAAATAATTTATCCACTCCACAGCCGCTATCTTCTGATCCTTTTTATCTTGTAAATATTTTCTATCTAGAGCTATTTTTTCTTTGCATTCTTTTTCCATTTCGGCAACGAAAAAATTGTGAATATTAGTACGTAGTGAGTTGGGGAGCATGTATGTATGGTGAGGAATATTGTTTGTATCTTTAATCAAAACAAGTACAGAAAAACATCCATAGTCCAGACGCTCCACCTCCTTGGCTAGAGGAGTGGAGCGCTTCAAAAACCTTTCTTGTGCAGCTTCTCAGCAATCTTCTTGAGGAACTTGTTGTCCTTGTCCCCGTTCTCGATCTCTTCAAGCATCATGGCCTGATTGAGGAATGTGCGCTTCTTCCTTAGCTCCAGACAGTTCCGTGCAATGTGCCTGGGCTGCTGACAGTTTTAGCAGATGATATTGCGGCTGCAGGCGCGGGTGCGATCAATTTCCATTAGAACCGGTTCATTGGCAGCGGGCCAGGCCGGAGCGGGTGCAGGCGGAATTGGGGCAGCCTGAGGGCGGAATTGGGGAGGTGGTCGTGGTGCGGAGTGCCCATAAGATGTGTTGCGCAGCTGGTTGCGCAGAGTGTTTGCCTCAATGTTGATGCACCAGGCTTTAAAGGCACCATACACCTTGGGCAGGGAGACACCAGTGTTGTAGAGGCAGCTGGCAATCTCGCTACTGAGCCCCCGCTCAAGGAATTTGATAAGGATGTTGTCTTGATCCCCCTTCTTGTATTTGCCTTTGTTGTCGGTGGTGGTGACCACATTGTATCCTGCGTCTGCCGCCAACATTTCAAAGTTGGAGATATAGTCTGCAAAGGACCACTTGTTCTGGTGTAGGGCCATGAGTCGAGTGGTGGTGACTTGTTTCGCATTGGAGTCCCCAAAAGCCCTTTGAAGTTCCACTAAGAAGTCCTTGGTGGTGACCTCTGCCTTGAGCCCCTGAAACCCTTCAAAGTTGCGTTGCTTCCAATTCATTGCCTATCTTGAAGCAGCGCAGCTAGTGCCCACCTCATTGCAAAGGTAGGAGAGCACAAAGAGGATTCTTGTGCAATCCTCTGAGAATTCCAAGCAATAGGCACCAATGTAGGTGGTGCATGAGTCCATGAAGCCCAAATACTTGCACTTGTTGCCATCAAAGTAGGGGGGGTTGGCGGTGAAGGTGATGCAATGTCCCGTCATGGTATGAGTGGGTGTGGTAGGCGGAGGTGTGGGTGGTTGTTTGGAGGGTAGTTTGTCAAGGTTGGGGATCTCGTCTTCAGGAGGCAGGAGAGTGAGGTAGGGGTTGGAGGACCCAGGTTGGTTTTAATGTGCCAGATTAGGCAATGAGGGTACAATGGGGGGAGGAGACAGACTCCCAGATGATAATGGGAATCAGTACAAAATGGTGAATTGGTGTGCTGTACAAGCACTTGAGGAAAGGTTCTTTTGCTAGTAAAAAGATCCTGGGCCTACTCGGTACTGGACAAAGTTTTGGACGGTGCATCATAAGGTATGGGACATTTGATCTCTGCATGGTTGACTAAGCTGATGGGGCACGTGATGTCACAGCACCGCCACCAATTCAAATCCTCGAGTCAAAAATTGCAAAACTTTTTGTTGGAGAGCGGAGCGGTAGAGGCGAGATACAAAACAAGAACCAAGATAGTAGTGTTTCCAAAGTTTACAACTGATCGGGGACTGCTGAACAAGCCTTCGCCATCATTTCCGGCGGAAGAGTACGATGACCGTGATATTGGCGATTGGCCCATGCAGCTTGGGAGCCTGTCAAACCCTCGCTGTATGCGTGGATGTATCTTGCTGAGCGAATAGAGAATCTGCGACAGCCCGTGGGATTTAGCCATGGAAACAACGGATGAAAATGAAATTTACTGTAGAATCTGTTGAGCCGGTACGGCATCTAGGCACTTGATGACATTGACTCGCATTTCAGCCATTGTGGATGTTGCGGCAGTTGAGCAATACAGATACTTTGCTGCACCCCAATACTGTTCAATAAAATTGAGCTCGCAATGAAATTTGGGATAGAAATCACAAATATGTCCGCGTTCTTTGACCAGCTCGTGAAGGGCGGACTTTTGGCTGACAAAGTCGGGCTGACAGAACAGCATTTTGCGGCAACAGCAGTCCATCACCTCGCTTTTGAAGCATGCAGTTTTGCATGCATCTCGCAGTCCCTCTTTGAAGAGACCATGCTCCCGTAATATCTGCTCCGAGCCCTTGAACCAGCCGGGCATGGTCTGATGGTCATCAGGAAAGTAGAAGTTGTGGGTTGAGCCATCAGCAAAGGATCCGTTGCGCATCCGAGGACCATCAGGGTGCGGAGTCCACGTTGCTGAAGGTCGTTTAGCGCCTGTTTCTGGTGGCTGGGTGCATTGTCAAACAAGAAGAGTCCCGTACACATTCGGTGTGTCTTAGCTTCGAAAACATCAATTGCGTGGGCAGTTTGTTCAAGGAGTTGTTCATTGGCAAAGTAACCATCACAATTCTTGCCGGCCTCAAAGATCACTCGCACATCGCTGTGCCCCATGTGAGCATAGAAATCAAAGTCCGAATGAAACATACTCTTCGCTGTCAAAAAGCCTGCCGTCTGGAGTGAGAAAATCGGACACCATGATCGACTCCCCTTCCCCTTTCCTCTCCGGTTGAGGGCCCATTTCTTCGGTGATAGGCTGGCTACCAGACGCGCTCTGCACCAGCTCTGTAAGGGCGTATTTTTGCGCTTTTACAAAGTTTACTCTCGAACCACTCGGTGTATCGTGTCGCGGATGACAGTGTTGCGCTCAGTAGGACTTAAGGGTCTACTGCCCAGTCGACGACTGTGGATAGTGTCGACGATAGCAAGGCAGTCAGACCACTACTGTGGAACTGGTCTTAAGAGTCTATACCAGGCTCAGGGCTATTAGTGACGAACGCTTGGACCGCGACAATTCCCCAAAAGGGATCTTTTGTTGCGGCGACTTCTCAAAAGGGTCATTTTCTGTGGATGGGAACTTGGGCTGAAGGGCTGAGCAATGTGCAACGTTCTCAATATTACAACTACTACTAGACTGGACTTGGCGTTACGAGATTGAACCAATCTTGTCGCGGCAACTCCCGGTTTTGAGTTGGACGTTTCCTCAGATCATGCCACGACGACGACTTGTCACATGTCAGGATCCATTCGATCACGGGACATTGTGGACGCGTTGCGGTGACACTTCCAAGTGTCACGGCGAGTCGCGTCCATACCCAAACACACTAAAATCGACACGGCTAGATCCGTGAACCGAACCATGTGAGGAACGTCTGGCGTGCCTAGGACCATACGGCTTCTTGGGGCACCCACGTTGGACTCACCCGTCAAGACATACCCATTGGCCAATCCAGCACGTCGTATTCCAAAAGTATGACGCGGTGGGTTGACCCACATCAAAAGTATCATATGGACTATGGGGCGGGGTCCTGATCACTCAGGACCTGTCCGATTGTTCAACTTTTCAATTACCCTAAAAGGCAACCGATCTTAGATAGCGTAGCTACTATGCAGTTGTACAGGACTTTACTAAGCATCGTCGTAGACAGTATAAGTAGCATGTCGTTTCTTTGTATTAGGAAGCTTTCCCCCGGACTGTGAATCACTCTCATTTCAGATTGTTTTGTACAATTTGCATGCCGTGTGATTCCACCCTAAGAAGTTCTGCTACCCCTGCCCGGTCGCGACGAGTTGCTCCCCAAGCACTTGTAGCTACTGTGATTTGAGTTTGAGTTGAGACATCAGAAAGTCGGATTCGCCGCATCTGGTTTAGTCGCGGCATTTAGTGTCGTCGCCTTTGGGCTTTGTTGAGATTTTTTCCACACCTCTAGTTTGGCAGTGCGTCGACTAGTTGTGCTTGGGTTGTTTTGATCAATTGGCAGTGCGTCGACTTGAGAACTTTGGTTCCACACTTCTTGCTTGGCAGTGCGTCGACAAGTTGTGCTCGGGTTTTGGACATTGGATATTGGCTGTTAGTTGGCAGTGCATCAACGCGGCATTTTGGTTCTACTAGTTGGCAGTGCGTCAACTCAGTATATTGGTTGTATCGGTTGGCAGTGCGTCGACTTGATACTTGGGCTTTGCGTCGCCATCTGGACGCTGTCGCTACAAGGGATCTTAATACTTTGTATTAAGCTCTGACTTGTGATATTGTTTGTTGTGGTTGAATTAGTGTTGGTTGTGTTCGTATAGAAGATATTGGTTGAGACACCACTGTTTGCTATATATAAATTCTTGTCGTCGACTTCGTCTTCCGCGACTATTGATCTGCGTCTATTGAGAGTTGTGATACTGGTGCTCTGTCCACCCCGAAGCCCTCGCATCTTTCACACACTGAGAAGCTGATTACGAGGAGTGTGAACATGTTTATATTTGGGTTTACTTTCATAGTAGATTCACTTGTGAGCATGCCCTCAGCATTTCATTGGTTTGCCAGAATGTTTTGCGTTGATCCCGAGAAAAGAAAGTCGATTTGTCATGAGTGACAGGGATTAGCCGGAACTGTGGCCACTCGGGTACCATAAAGCCGGTTGGATACGAGGTGATCTCCCCATTGGCTCCGTAAAGCACCATGTGCTTTTCATACTCCTTCCACCGCTTGCAGAACCCTCTGCGATACTGAACAACGTCTTCCCGTTCATGTACGTCAATGTACATCCCCTTCACCTTCGACTTGAACCTCCAGCTCAACCGCTCAAGCCAACGACGGGCTGTCTGGACGTGGATCTGTGGTTTGACCTTCCCTTCAAACTTCTTCTGCACCTCCTCACTTGCAATGTACTCGTGATCGACAAAAGTGTTGGCGTCACATCACATGATGTTAGTTGATGTGGTTTCTGTACATGTTCCTCACTCACTCCATCGACACTCTCGGGCAACAAACTCATGCCTAAGGACAATTCTAAATATTACCATTCATCTGAGATCAAAAACCAATTTATTGGTGCGATGCTCATTGACAAGCACCTCGGCAAACATTCACATACATTTGGCTTTCCATATGACACCGCACAAAAGATATGGAGAAAGTACCAGGAGACTGGGTCGGTCGAAAATCGACCTCGCAGTGGTAGACCCCCAAAGATAACACCCCAGATGGAGCGACAGATCCACCGAAAAGCACTTGCAGATCGCCGAAAGCCATTCCGAAGTATTGCAAACGAAATTGAGCCACAAATCTCAGATAAATCAGTTGCACGGGCACTAGACAAACGGGGCATGCACCGGAGGATTGCGAGGAAGGTTCCCTTCCTAACCCAGCAGCAGAAGAAGGCACGATTGGAGTGGGCATGTGCACGGGAGGGAGAAGACTGGGACACTGTCATGTGGTCAGATGAATGCTACATCCAGATGGACGACAAAATGGGACAGGTGTATGTGACACGCACCGTGAATGAAGAGTACAATGAGGCATGCCTCATTCCGACCTTCAAACAGTCAGCGCTCCGGGTAATGGTGTGGGGATGTGTCACAAATGGGTGGAAAGGGCCACTCATCATCTTGGAGTACCCTGGGGGCAAGGGCGGGGGTATGACAGCGGGCAGATACTGTGAGCAGGTCCTAGAGGGTGTCTTGATGAAGGCAATGGAAGGAGCGAAGAAAAAATGGCCTGGTATGCGATTTCAGCAAGACGGGGCTCCATCACACACAGCCAAGGTGACGCACCAGTGGTTCTCTTCCCACGAAATTGCCCTCTTCCCACATCCTGCAAACTCTCCCGACCTCAGCCCAATCGAACCTGTCTGGAAGGAGCTGAAAAGGCGTGTGCGTGCCCATCAGCCACGCCCAACTACCCTCGAAACTCTCAAAATAGCCATTCAGGAGGAGTGGGAGAGAATGCCATTGGAAGACATAACGAAGCATACCAAGAAGATGAGAGAGCGCGTGGAGGCTGTCTTGAAGGTGAAGGGTGGGCACACAAAGTTTTGAGATCGAGTGTATAATGTGTCATGGTAGCGAATGAAAATTTTCTTGATGACGGCCGAGATCAAATGATCAGGTGCCAACACTTTTGTCGATCACGAGTAGTCAACAACATCCTGGGCACAGATGTATCCTTTCGACGCCCTCTCCAGCAGGCTGGCCTGAAGACCACCTGAGAAATCCTCGTCATCAAGCATTGTCGGATGGAACTCGCCGTAGCGCTGGCCAGGGAGCTCTCCGGAGCTCAGGAATTGGTTGATCCAACTGCGAATATTGCGTGCGCAAGTTGTCCCCGCATTCTGTCCTTTGGCCGCCAAGAGTGATGACTTTTGCCAGGTGTATGCAAGAGCGGGGTCCAAGTAAAAGTTGAGCGTGGCAACCATTGCGAAGATGCAGGCACGGAAGAACGCATCTATTTTCTTGTCCTTTGTCTTCTCCTTTAGGCTGACCAATGCTTTCTCGAGTGCAGGTCGGTCCCTCCAAGTTGTTGCACCCAAAGCATGTTCCGACTCATCAAAATCATCTAATTGATGCCGCAGTGCTTCTGCCTCCTCTCGGACTCTGTTCAGGGCAATCCGAGCCTGCTCCGGTGTAGTTTCGATTGCTGGCTCCAGGATAGGAGGGATAGGATGTGGTTGGTAGGAGGAGTGCCCAGGTGCCGGAGGGGCGTCGTTGAGATTGAAGTCGAGGTCAACGTCGCGCTCAGAGACGGAGTCGGGAAGGATATCGGGCTCGGCACAGTGGATACAAGAGTCAGCGCTCTTGCTGACAGGACTGGTGTGTTCACCCTCATTGCCAGTCTGCTTTAGAGCTCAGTCTAATGTTTCTTTCCGTGCCGCAGAAGCTTCTTGAACTCACCTGACTCACCCGCATCTTGTGATCCTCCATCTTGATGATTTCGACATCATCTTCTATCTCAATGGCTTCGACGTTGTCCTCCGTCCCAACAATTTCGATGTCATCCTCCATCTCGACAATTGCTGCCTCTCTCGCGTCCTGGACCTTGTGTTGCAGCTTCACAGCAAAATGCTTGGAAATGAGCTTGTTCCCACCCTTTTTCCACAATGCCCGCTTGTTGGTGTTTTGCTGTCATGTCGTCTTCAAGGTCCTGTTGTATCCTGCACTGCAATCGTTCTTTGAGCAGCGCTGTTTTTCTCGGGAATGCTCCTTGTTGTGCTGCCTTTGTAGCCGTTCAGCAAATGTCTCCAGGTGAGCCTCGCTCTCAAACTCTGCCCTATGCTGATGATCTTCAATCATCCCCTCCTCAATGTCACAGCCTGGATCCCACTGCGGCACACCCTCATCCTGCTCAAGCTCCAAATGGTCGATCGAATGTGACGGGGTTGTTGCTGCAGACTGTGTCCGGCTCCGAAGAGCCTTGTGTGCATGTTTGAGGTTGTCCTTTCGAGATTTCTTGCTTTTGGTGGTCCCCACCATCGCGGCCGTGAGGTTTTTTTGGCTAGACAATCATGTCTAAATTAGGCAATATTAAATCACATGACTTATACGTCATCAATTCAAATTCTGGACCCTCCCAGCCTAACATGAGCGGAATCGCATTTTTACAAGGTTCTGCATTGAAAGAACTTTACTTGAAAAAACATGACATGACATTATAAACAAAGCCTATTTAGACAATCTGCTTTCAGAGAGTATAGTATGAGTCTACTCTGGATCTCTTGCTGTAACCCAAAATGTCATGGTGTCGGTGTGGAAGGTGGGATGTGTGGTGGGAGTTGGGCGTTACATTGTCACATCAAAGCTTAGTCAACCGTGCAGAGATCAAATGTCCCATACCTTATGGAGCCGTGCACTCCACAAACACAATCAGGTGACATAAAATTCATGTCGTGGATAGTTTACATCTTGCACTATACCCCTACAATGCCCAAAGACCTCTCCCATCCATGCCACTCAGCTGAGAAAAAGAATCAGTTCATTGGCGCCATGCTAGCTGATCCCCATATCAAGAAGCATGCCAAGGCATTTGAGATCCCATATGAAACAGCGCGCAAGCTCTGGAGAACGTAGCGGAAATGGGGCACCATTGAGAATATCCCTCCCACGGGGCGGCCAAAGAAGATTACTAAGCAAGTGGAGGCCCAGATCATCCAGACTGCGCGTGAAAATTGCAGGATGCCATTCCTTGAGATCAGCAATTTTGTTGATCCGCCAGTTTGCAAGAAGTCTGTTGCAAAGGTGCTGGACAGTGTGGGAATGCATCATTGTGTTACTTGACATGTTCCATACTTGACGGACAGGCTCAAGGAGGGGAGGTTGTCATGGGCGCAGGCAAACAGACGGAAGACAGCATGGGAATGGGATGCAATCCTGTTGTCAGATGAGTGTTACATCCACTTGAATGGGACTGCAGGCCATGTTTGGGTGACAAGGACAGTGAATGAGGTCTACAATGAGGCATGCTTGGTACCGGCCTTCAAACAGTTGCCTGTGCGTGTCATGGTTTGGAGTTGCATTGCGCATGACTGGAAAGGGCCTCTTGTCATCCTCAACTATCCTGGTGGGAAGGGTGGTGGAATGTCTGCAGAGCGCTACCAAAAACAGGTTCTGCGGACACATGTTGTCAAGGCCATGAAAGATCTTTGTCACCATTGCGCTCGCAAGATCAAGATTCAGTACCAACAGGATAGTGCATTCTGTCACACAGCTGAGTCAACCATCAAGTGGCTTGAGAACTATAAAATCCCCCTTGTCCCCCATCGTGCATGCTCACCCAATGTCTCCCCCATTGAGCCTGTCTGGCATGAGCTCAAGAAGCACATCTGTGCCTGACAACCAAGGCCAACAACCTTCGAATCACTGAAAGTGGCAATCAAAAAAGAATAGGAATTGATGCCAATTGATGACATCAATAAATACACTAGCACAATGCAAGACCACGTAGCAGCTGTATTGGATGCAGAGGGAGGTCATACAAGATTTTGAAGGGAAATAAATGTATTTTTAGATCAGAATATGTAGATGAGAGATTGACCGTCCAAAACTTTATCTGCCTACAAGTAGCTCTTCACGTGCCTGATGATCCCAAGGTGCATTTTCCTGAAGGTCTCTGCAGCACTCCTTGTAGCTACCATAAGGCTTGGGTCAGGCTCAAGGTTACCCGTGGCCTGGTGCTGTTTGCTCAATAGGAACCCTTCACTGTGATCACAGAGAGCAACTAGATGATTTGGTAAAAGGGTGAGTGGATTGATAAGGATGTAGAGGATATAGCAGGCGTAGCGGTAAGAGATGCAGGGTAGGAGGTAAGAGGTACAAGGGTATGAGAGGAGTCTTGGAATTATGTGACGATCAACCCAAAACAAAGTCAATAAGAAGAATGAATTCCAAGACTGGGGAATACAACACAACAGCTACTGTATTTATACCAAGTCCAGTCTGAGTCATATCTACATCAAATGAGTCATGAGACTAGGTACTGTGTGGAGTGCTGGTCATGGGTTGTAGTAGAACCTTCTGGAGCACATGCTGCGCAGCCTTTGCAAAGATAACACCTCTGAACCCTTGACCTGGGCCGTGTGATGATGCTGTGATCTGTGATAAGATAACCCATGTCGAGATAAGACTAGATTGTTGATGGAAAAGACAAAAAAGTGGCTGAACTATGACAGGGTAATGTCATAGTTAAACCACTTTTTCATGATTTCTGTCAGGGGAACCCCTGCTTTCGTCCGATCATCCTGGGATCTTGCATGTGACCATGCACGCGCCATCTGTCAGGCGTCACATGCTTCGGTCCGGACTTCCCTGCCAAGCGCATCCACATGACACTCGGGCCCGGACCCCCATTGTTCCGACGGTCCGGCTCCCATTGTTCTCCCCCGATCCGGCCCCTCATTGTTCCCTGGCCCCATTGTCTGGCGCTTCCATTGCGCTTGGTCATCCATTGTTCTGTAGGCTATATATAGTGGGCCCTGACAAGGAGAGTCCCCAACTCGGTTTCTCTTTGGACTCTCCCTTGTCAGGTCTGCCAAGTCTCCTGTATTAGTCGGTCCCTTTATCTGACGCTTTGGACTCTCCCTTGTCAGGACTCTGAGATCGGGCCTCGAGGTTGCCCTTACAGCAGAAACCGAGTTCCTAGGGATAACTGGGCAAGCTTGTGAAGACTCGTCGACCAACCACTCCTCGCCTTCCAACTTGTCCCCTCCTCCCCCTCTGCGATTATCATGTCCTACATGGAGGACGAGGCCCACACCCCTACCCCCGAGCAGCGACTCGGTAATCTGGAGGAATCCATGCAACGAATGGAGGGACTTCTTGACAGTCTCCTCCGATCACAGGTACAACCTCCCCCTGCCCCTGCCCCTGCCCCGCCTCCGGCAGCGGGTCCAGGCGTTTTTAACGGCCAAGCGGCCAACTCACGACCTCTCATCCGCCCCAACCCCCCCCTTTGCGTTCGATGGGGATCGCACCCAGGGCAAGACGTTTCTCCATTCCGTCAAGCAGTACTGGCGCCTCCTCCCCGAGGCCTTCCGTGTGAACGGGGTGGTATCAGAAGAAAGGGTGGTACGCTTTGCCCTCTCCTACATGTCCAAGGACTCGGCAGCCTCCTGGTCGGAACGTATGTCAGAGCGCCTCGTCTTCCCATTCCCGACCTGGTCTTCCTTCGTCGCCGAGTTCAAGCTCCGGTTCGTTGAGGAGAACGAGCAAGACCACGCCCTGGCACGGCTGGAGACCCACGCCTACTACATGGGATCCCGCGACGTGTTCAAATACACGGACGAGTTCAACGACCTCCTCGACTTGGCGGGGTACTCCGATAACTTGGTCAAAGTCACCAAGTACCGAGCGGGTCTAGACCCCAGGATCAATCAGGCGATCACGACCTCCGGTAACCCACCTAGCCTCACAAACTACTCGGAGTGGCGCACCCACGCATTCCGCCAGTACAACGCTGAGGTGGCTGCCCGGGCCGCACGAGGACAGGCGTTCTCTCCACACCGCGCCCCGCCTCCGGTGGCTCCCCGTCCCCGCCCCGTGGCTGCTCCGGTGGTTGCTCCACCTCCTGCTCCCCGACCAGCCCCAGTAGTCCTCCCACCGGGCATTCCCATGGAGATCGACCGAACCAGAGCCCGCACCGGTGTTCGTCGCACCTGCTTCCGATGCGGCAGCCCAGGACACCTGGCCCGAGACTGCCCGACCCCCGCGGATGTCCGGCACGCTGACGTCCTGGACGAAGTGATCAATCAGCTGGGAAGCGACCTGTTGGCGGAATTAGTGGCCTGGCTAGCGACTACAGCGGCTGTAGAAGATCACGAAGCGGAGATTGCCGACGAGTTGGAGCAGGGTTTTCTCCCCCGCGACGAGTGAATAGTACGCCCTCGATCGCCTCACGTAATCGTTTTGAATGTCTGTATGATGAATGCGACCTCATTTCCCCCGCAAACGAAACGATAGACGTACCCCCTGCCCCTCGCTCTGTCCCGCTGGTCCGCAAGGAAAAGTGGGAACGAAAACTCCCTCAGCGCTACGTGGTCGCAGCCTCCCCCGGCGCCAACTCCCTGCACCTCCCCTAGAGATCCAGTCCACCAACAACGCAGTCCAGCTCGCCCTCAACGGACTGGTCGACTGTGGCGCCACGTCGGACTTCATCGACTCCACCTACGCCTCCGAAAACCGACTTCCGGTCCGGCAGCTCTCCCAGCCTATCCCAGTCTACAACGTGGACGGCACGCCAAATGAAGCTGGCTCCATCCGACAAGTTGCCGATGTGGTCCTGCGTTACCAAGGACACAGCGAGCGTGTCCAGCTCGCCGTCACTCGGCTTGGCAAGCAGAAATTGATCCTCGGCTATTCCTGGCTTCGGAAGCACAACCCGGAGATCAATTGGGACACCCAGGAGGTAAAGATGAGCCGCTGCCCATCGGGCTGCTCCACCTGCACCAAGGAGTCTCGCCAAGAGAGACGGATAGCCCGGATTTCGGCCCGAGCACTCCGATCAGCCCAACAAGGCCCTGCCCCCTCCATCTGCGTCGTTGATATTGAAGACCGCGAAGACGAGGCTATGCCACTGCTCCAGGAAGACGACGGAGAAGATTCCGACGAAGAAGAAGATTGTCTGGAAACCGGTGACCGTATCCTCTACACCCGTTTCAACCCTTCTGAAGACATCCGAGCCACTAGCACCGTCTCCCAGCGTCTTGCGGAGGCGTTTGCCAAGAACTCTGCCCCCCCTCGGGATTCCATACCCGAGTGGGCGCGTGAGTTCAAGGATGTTTTCAGCAAGGAGTCCTTTGACAACCTTCCGGAACGTTGCCCCTGGGACCACGCCATCGAACTGGTGCCCGATGCAAAGCCAACGAACTGCAAGGTCTACCCTATCTCCCCCTTGGAGCAGAAGCAGCTTGACGCTTTCATCGAAGAAGGCATGGCCACCGGCCGGATCCGACCCTCGAAGTCCCCTATGGCCTCCCCCGTCTTCTTTGTCAAAAAGAAGGACGGCAGTCTACGGTTTGTCCAAGATTACCGGGCACTGAATGCAATGGCAGTGAAGAATCGGTACCCCCTTCCCTTAATCAACGACCTGATCAATAAGCTCAAGGGAGCCCGCTTCTTCACCAAACTCGATGTTCGATGGGGCTTCAACAACGTACGGATACGAGAAGGAGATGAGTGGAAGGCTGCATTTCGGACTAACCGCGGGCTCTTCGAGCCACTGGTGATGTATTTTGGCCTCACCAACTCCCCTGCAACGTTCCAGACTATGATGAATGACATCCTCCAGGACCTCATACTCTCTGGCAACGTCATGGTGTACCTGGACGACATCCTCATCGCGCACTCCGACCTTCACCTCCATCGTCGTATCGTGAACAAGGTCCTCCGACGCCTTCGCAAAAACAAGCTGTACCTCCGAGCGGAGAAGTGCGAATTCGAGATGGAGTCCATCGAGTACCTTGGCGTGATCATCTCCCACAACCACGTCGAGATGGACCCCGTCAAGGTGGCAGGAGTAGCCAAATGGCCGGCCCCCTCTAACAAGAAGGAAGTGCAGCAGTTCCTTGGGTTCACTAACTTCTACCGGAGGTTTATTCGGGACTTCTCCCACGTCGCGCGCCCGCTCTTCGACCTCACCAAGAAGGACGTATCATGGTCTTGGGGCGACAACGAGTCCGCTTCGTTCCAGGCCTTGAAGGATGCAGTCACCTCTACACCGGTTCTTCTCCTCCCAGACTCCTCTCGTCCTTATCGCCTAGAGGCTGATAGCTCCGATTTTGCCACAGGAGCCGTCATCTCGCAGCAGTCCCCCTCGGACGACAAGTGGCACCCAGTCGCCTTCTTTTCCAAGAGCCTTAACGACGTCCAACGCAACTACGAGATCCACGACAAGGAGATGCTCGCGATTGTGCGTGCGCTGGAGGAGTGACGGCACTTCTTGGAAGGCGCCAAATACCCCGTGGAAATCTGGACCGACCACAAGAACTTGGAGTACTTCCGCAAGGCCCAGAACCTCAATCGCCGGCAAGCCCGATGGTCGCTCTACTTGTCCCGCTTCGATTTCACGCTCCACCACCAACCTGGCCGGCTCATGGGACGACCAGACGCACTCTCCCGACGCCCGGACCACGGAGCCCCCTCGGACAACACAGATGTCACCCTGCTGAAGCCGGAACTGTTCCATGTGCGCGCACTCGAGGGACTTTCCGTCTCTGGCCCGGAAGCCCCGCTTGTCCGTGACATTCGGGAATCGCTTTCCGGTGACCCTGACCTTGAGGAAGCTGTTGCGCTCGTAGTGCGACAGCTTCTAAAGGGGATGAAGGGGGCCTGCTCTGCAG